TCTGGACCGACCGACCGACCGACCGACCGCCCGACCGACCAACCGACCGACCGACCGACCGACCACCGAGTGACTCCTATATACCCCCCCAAACTTCGTTTTTGGGGGTATAATTACTGGCCAAGTTTTACACTTCTAATCTAACTAGTTCAAACATTATTGCAACAAGAAGCATTTTTGCTTTGGCATACACCTTCTTTGTGAATTCATAGGTCCAAAATACTTTTCCATTCTTATTACAAAAAGTTAAGAGGTAGAGAATCGTGATGCAAAACTATAATCCTTGTCACCTAAAACGCACACTCAATATTTCACACAGCAGTTCCTATCATGCACATTTTCATCACTTTAAAATTCCAAATTTTCTTCAATGCAATTCCATTTATTACATAAAAAATAACTTTTCCTCAAAAAAGCCGACAGATTTCTATTAATATAAATTCACATGTGTAAGAAGTTAATCTACAATAAACATTCGCTAATTTATTTATCTCCGGTACATAATTTCACTGTAATATTTTGAATAAATCATAACACTGAATACACCAGACCAGAATGACAATGGGCAGTGACCTGTGTAAAAAGGTCACAAGTAAAACAACTTATTCAAACAGCATCTAGTCCCTCATTGTTGTACACTACCGACCTCAGACAAAACAACTGTTTAAATCGCTACCTCATGTTACAAATATCCTCCACAACATCCCACTTTGATCTTATTGACGAACTGAACTTTGCTTGGAGTTTTTTTCCCTAAAATTTTGTTAACATGTTAAAGATAGGATCATCATGAAATAGTTTTTTACAACTCCATATGTTTTTGCAAATATTTCTCTTTTTATTGCCAACTGAAGTATAAAGGGATGTAACAGTGATACTATAGTACAATTTACTTTATACAAAGTTATTCCCCTTGATCAAAATATGCACTGATACAAGTGTAAAATTTATCAAAATTTTGGATTGAGCATGATTGAGAATTCTGACTTTCTTTACTATACTTTGAAATCTACAAAATGTTTCCTTCTAATTAAATACAATACCTCACTTCACCAGTTAGTTAGTTAAATCAGGATTTAAAAAAATGCTGATAAGAAAAAAACTTAACAAAACATGGAAAACTTGATTGTAATTAATTTCCATTAACTTACAGATAAGCTTTGCAGAATGTAAATATAAAATGCTGATTTCTATACAGACTCAATCATTTGTTAAACTTGGCAAATAACCCGATAATGACAGTCAAACACACATTATAAAAGATAGGAAGTGTATTATTACTCGATGTCAATATTTGAATCTGTTAATGGAGAAATGATGTAGTTAAAGGGTTGATACACGATGGAATAATGATTAAATAAGGTAAGAGGGAAGGAAAAACCATCATCCAACAAGGTATGACAAATAACTACATCATTTTACATCATTACATCTATCTATGCAGTTCACTATTGCTACGAAAATGATTTAAGAAATATTAATGAAAGAAAAGTAATAAATGAAAAAATAAACATAACTCTTTCAGCATCACAATCTGTTTTTTATGACTCAAAAGTCTGCCACATACTGGTATATATAAAATGCATTTTGGCCATGGATTTCTTTTATCCATAATTAAAGAGTCAATGCCAAATTTTGAATACCCATTTATGCCGCAAAATAAGACTTTTTTTAATATCGAAGATTAATTTTTAGTACTGAAAGAGTTATAACTCTTTTCTTTACGCCAAAAGGGATGCAACTCATGTTTTTGTGACAAAACAATAATAAATCAACTTTTTGTGGCGAATGGGTAAATTATTTGGTTGAAATGGTTAAAATACAAATGGAGAACTAGCAGTACAGATATAAAACCGTTTTCTTGTTGGGTAATGATAAGAGACAGGGCAAAATATACAAGTCATTACAGAAAACTACATAGGTTGAAACCTATAAATGAGATATATATGGGCATTATAACAAAAATTTACAATAGTATTTTACTATGGAAATAAAAAAAGATTACCAGGAGAACTGATCTGCTCAGCATAAATGTCCTTATTCAGATGTCTATGAAAGTTTTTCCGATTTTTTTTTTTTTTTTACCTGTTTTACTTAAAAAACTGTCTTAACATACAACTTCTAAGGACAAGATGATCATAGTATATAACCATCAATTTTGAAACCGGTATAAACCAGGTTTTAGAATACATGCATTTATCTATATGATACAGGCAGAGAAAAAGATAACAAATAAATAAGAACATTCACACAAAGATGTATGACCCTTTTAGACGATTAAATGAAACATAACATATCTTAATACTTTTTTCAATGATATGAATTAAATTTCTAAATTAATTTGTAGGCTTCATTAATACTGACCATGCAGGATCCAAAAGTGATTTGATTTTCCCACCAATATAGAGCCAGGCCAGCATGCACATCCCTGCAGCCTGACCAGGATCTGCACTGTTGGGAGCTCATTTTTTTAAATTTTAAAATCAAGTTTTAATCGAACGGAATGTTAAAATTTGAAGCTTCAGACATATTAAGTCCACACTAGAAACTCAGAATGTTAAAAAAGGGTTTCCTTTTTAAAACTTTTCCCCTTTTTTTAAAATTTTTTTTAATTAGTAATTTTTTTACTTTTATTATAATGCTTTTTACCCAATATTCTAGCCACTCTGTAAAAACTAAATTAAAATTTCCCCCTTTCTACATGGGATAAAAAATGGGCCTTTTAATAAAAAGATCTCACCTTTTTTCGGAAACTTGTTGATATTACACATTTTTGTCAAATTATGAGTTACGAATAAATAAAAAAATCCAAAAAATCACAAAAATGTTTCCAAAAAGAAAAAAAATTTAAAAATTTAAATCATTTAAACAAAGAAATTTTTACAGAAAAAAATTCCAAAGTGAAACTCTGAAAGACAAATAAAATGAGGGAGAGAAAGGATCTTAAGAAACATTTTCATGAAAGGTTCATTGTTTTGTATATGTTTAATGTCTGTTGTTTTTCTTGCTTATTTTAACATATTTAAATGAAAGATTCATTGTTCTGTTTTGTACATGTTTTTATACTGATTTTAACACATTATTTTCTTATCTCAGCACTTGGTCCACCAAACCGGCCTTCCTGGATAAGTCACCAGTAAATACCAATTTCTTTGCTCAAAATGAATTAAATTCTTCAACATAAAATATTAGTATCATTTCCAGATTAAAGAAAAAAAACAACCCACACACATAAAAAAACAACTAAAAATGGGTCAAAGACAGAAAAGGCCGGGTTGCATATGTATACAAAATATCATGAGGCTGTGATGTTACGAAAAATTTTTTCCATTGACCCATTTATGTCGAAAATTTAATTCAGTAGGTAAACAGGAAGTGGATTAGCTACACACCTAAAATCGAATCCCACAGTATGGGACCATGTGTCAATGCTGTATGCCAAATATCAAGAGGCTGTGATTAGTAGTTTCTGAGAAAAATGTTACGAAAATTTCCTACCATTGACCATTAATGTGAACAGGAAGTGGATGAGCTGCAGACTTGAAATCGAATCCCACAGTATGGGACCATGTGTCAATGCTGCATGCCAAATATCAAGAGGCTGTGATAAGTAGTTGCTGAGAAAACTGTTACGAAAATTTTCTACCATTGACCATTAATGTCAAAAAATCGAACTAATTTAACTAAGTGGATAAACAGGAAGTGGATGAGCGACAGACCTGAAATCAAATCCCACAGTATGGGACAATGTGTCAATGTTGTATGCCAAATATCAAGAGACTGTGATAAGTAGTTGCTGAGAAAACTGTTACGAAAATTTCCTACCATTGACCATTAATGTCGAAAAATCTAACTAATTTTACTAAGTGGATAAACAGGAAGTGGATGAGCGACAGACCTGAAATCAAATCACACAGTATGGGACCATGTGTCAATGCTGTATGCCAAATATCAAGAGGCTGTGATAAGTAGTTGCTGAGAAAACTGTTACGAAAATTTCCTACCATTGACCATTAATGTCAAAAAATCTAACTAATTTAACTAAGTGGATAAACAGGAAGTGGATGAGCGACAGACCTGAAATCAAATCCCACAGTATGGGACCATTTGTCAATGCTGTATGCCAAATATCAAGAGGCTGTGATTAGTAGTTGCTGAGAAAACTGTTACGAAAATTTCCTACCATTGACCAATAATGTTTAAAAATCTAACTAATTTAACTAAGTGGATAAACAGGAAGTGGATGAGAGACAGACCTGAAATCCAATCCCACGGTATGGGACCATGTGTCAATGCTGTAGGCCAAATATCAAGAGGCTGTGATAAGTAGTTGCTGAGAAAACTGTTACGAAAATTTCCTAGCATTGACCATTAATGTCGAAAAATCTAACTATTTTAACTAAGTGGATAAACAGGAAGTGGATGAGCGACAGACCTGAAATCAAATCCCACAGTATGGGACCATGTGTCAATGCTGTATCCCAAATATCAAGAGGCTGTGATAAGTAGTTGCTGAGAAAACTGTTACGAAAGTTTTTTCCCCGCCCGCCCGCCGCCCAACATTCACCATACTATAACCCGGGTTTGCACCAGTGCAACCCGGCCAAAAATACCTAAACAGAAAGTGATAAAAAAGTATCTATGTGACCTTTGACCTTCCATGACCTTTACCTATGAAAATGACCTTAAACTACATCTATTTATAGAAAAAAAACTTGAAATTAGGTATTACTGATGGAAAACGATTGGTATTCCCCCACCCCCTGCTTTGAACATAAATAGTCATAACAAAAAGGAAAAATAATCCTAAACTTGCTTATCAAAAAAGGAAAGATAATGCATAAAAGTTCACATGACAATATACGCGATAAAAAAATATGGGAGATATAGTCTTTCATGCTGTAAACATAAGGTATATACATGTTTATAGAACACACCTCAAAAAACGTGCAAAAACAACAACACTTGCAGTAACAACAAAACAAAAACAACAAATTTACCTTTTCCATTTAAGTTTGCTGTATATGTTATAATAAGTTTATAAATCTACTGAATATTCATACTATTTTTAATTGACTTAGACTGTTGTTGTTTTTCTTAGGAAAACTGTTTAGACAGACAGACATTTATGTAACAGTATGGGAGCTTTGGAAGATGTATAAAGAATTGTTTTCAAATTTAATCAAAAGATATACAATGTATAGTAATTTTCATGCACTTTTTTAAAATATGATTAATGACCAAACAAAAAGAAGATTTAAGTTACATCAAGAAACATTTGTGTTAGCAATGGCTATCCCTGATGATACATTGATCTAGCTTTAAAATGTTGCTAATAAATGAGAAAAAGTAGAAAATATTTTTCTGATGAGTGACCTTGACCTCATTGACCTCACACCATATGAAAGGGTACAGGTATTACATACTAAGATATTAGACTATAAAGAAAAGTGCTATCAGAAATGCTGTATGTGACAAATAGGTTGAATTGATGGATGTTAGAAACACTCTAAAACTTGTCAGGGGAAAATAACACAAAGGAACTTTATTTAAGGAAGTTTACATAATTAGTTTCCCATTCTTCCATATGTGCCTTAGAAAATCAGACTCTAATGTCACATCTGCCTACCTAAGTCTATATTGCGATGGGACCACTTTAGGGATATCAGCCTATATTTTGACGGGACCATTTTAGGGATAAACAACTTGAATATCATTTCAAAGCATGATAATATTTACATCAACAACATCAAAATGACAACTTTTCTGTATCCATTTTTGAAACAAAGTGTATAAAATACATACCCGGAGTACACTGGAGATTTATCAAGAGCAATGTTATCAGGGTCGAAATGTGTATTAAAGGACGAGCCACTGTAAGAACTGAATCTTGTTCCTTCCGATTTTCCTGGTGCGGCCATGTACCGGTTGTCAGCTTTCTGTGGCATTATAGGTGCCTCAAAACTTCCCGCCATTGTCGCTTCCATATAATCCTGAAGTATACATATCATAGGTGATTTATAAATCAAAATATATGGTGCCATTTGGCGGACAATATTTAACTTGTACTTCACAAATTGCTTGTATGCAAAAGAATAACTAGACAAATGTAAAGCTAATTGCCATGTCTAGAAATACCATGTATACAGAAAATTAGCAAGGAAATACGCGATGGACAAATTGTACAACTTAAAAGTTAATGTACAAACAGGTTTGTAAAGGAAGTACTGGGCAACAGAAACGAGCTGAAAGCACGTATAAATACAATAAATCTGACATTAGAGGAAAAGCAAAAATAAAATATTTGCGCAAATAATACATATAAAGGCAGAAATTAACAAAGGATTACCCAATGCAAAAAGCCGATATATATATTTCTAGCCTTCAAAACCTATTAGATGACCTTGAGTTTGGGAGGAATGACATTCCTACATTATTTGACAGAATATTTGTAGAATATTTGTAACAGGCTTGCACTATGGTCACGACAAACTAACAAACGGCAAAATGTATTTATAGGAAAAATGCACAGAAAAATTTACACAGAACCATCAACGGCACTCAACAAAACCTGATATAGAAATCAATGCATGACTGGAATTTTTTAAGACCATACCACAAGAAAGGTTTCTCACTGTGACAGACGGTACATAAAAAAACATCTGACAATTTGTGGCAAAAAATTGTGCATTTACGCTTCAAGACTAATGTAACATCACTAGTATGTATCAACTATTCAGAAGATTGTTACATAGCAGAATAGGACATGAAAATATAGAGTGACATCTATATAAAAGGTAATGTAATGGAAGTATGTCTGTAACTTCTCTCTCTACATGTCTTAACAGATAATCTTCATCAATGCTAGAAACAATTCAAATATACATATTCCCGATAGACAGGATCAAAGTTTAACTGTCTCTGATACTCAAAGATATACTTTTTATCAGATAATCGTCCTTTTAACATATTTTCAGGCGAATGTGACAGGTACATGCTGTCATGTGTATAATTTTTCAATTTTTCCCCAACATGCAAACATAACATCCATGCAGAGGGGTAAAAAACTCGATCTCTTAATTTGTTAGAATGTGAACAACATAATAATTTGTGCGAGTGCATGCAACTTCGTATCAAATCAACATTTTAAAGTTTTAGAACTCTCTCTGTCAATTTGTTTTAATTCTCAGAATTAGGAAACTCTATGCTTTATTTAAAACAATAAGAAAGAATCGATATTCCTAAAACAAAAACCTCGGACAACCTCGGAAGAACATTCTCAATTTGAGACATTACAATACATCATTTACTTCTCTCGATGCTTCTGTAAACATGGAAACTTGACATGATGTATCAATCAATTTAGTAATAAACTGTTGTTCAAATAAAGCAGATATAATTCTCTCTAAAACAGAAAACGCACCTAGTGCAAGTCGTGTCAATATATATTTCATACAAAAATTACCTGCCGCGAAGTGTCAATGGAATCATCAGGGAGGTATTCAAACTTATTACTAAGATCATGTCCATCAACAAGATCCGTAGAATAAGCCTTAGACTTTGAGGGTATACCTATCCTTGAGTCAATCAGGTCACGCTGCCTGGCGGCCTCTGTCTGTTGCAGACGCACAGATTTTCGTTCGTAAAAATCCTCTCCGAACAGAAGTGAGTTCTGAATAGACGATACAAAAAGTGGCATGCAACTAAGCGTGAATAGTGAAACAATATATAATTAGAACAAAAACAGAAAAGTAAAACTTAAATCAAACAACAAACCAGAAAAAAAAGTGAAATGCTTTCATAAATAGAGTCTATTTCTTCAAACATAACAATAGCATTCAGTTTTTTTAGCAAATCAAACAAGCTATACAGTAACGTAAAACCTACTTCATAATTGCAGACAAAATATTCTGTTGAGATTAAGACTACTTCAGGAATAAGAATATACCAATATAGTGCCGTAGATTATAAGTAAATATATAGAAAATTGTTAGATATTTCGTTTTAGAGTTTTGTTTTTTACAGTTCCCAAAGAATGAGTCTACATTTCTATAATCAAATTCAATAAACACTGCAAGAAAAGTAAAGTTCTAATTTATAGATCTAGGCACCTTACATAAGAAAGAGTTTCCACATCTTAAACTTTGTAGGAAAATTGTGTCAAATATTTCTAAAAGTAGCCGTCACTGACATTTCAGTCCTTATGTAACAGTCGAGTACCTTTGAAGGTAAAGGTTGTATCATTTTCATATTTTCTTATCATATTAAACACGATAACATCTCGGATAATTTTAACCTTGACAAAAATCATCCTCTTAGAAGCGTCTTCTCAAAATAAATGTTTGAAACCAGATATAAAATAAAATTAGAGTATGCCTACGCAAAACAAAAATCAATAGCATTATATAGAAGTGTTTGTGAAAATCTCTCGTAATTGGCCTATCGAGGCCTTGCACATTCTCTTAGTGCGAAAGAATGGCTCGAAAAATTACAGCTTCACAATAAATCTGTACTAATCAAGACATAATAACGAAAAGCCGAGTCTGATCTTTTTTTATTCGCGACAAATTGTAAAAGAAGTAAATATAATCTTATATCACGCTAAAAATTCAAGTAAAATATTTGTTTGTTTAAGTCTAATTATTTTATAACTATGAATAAAACTGTTATTTCTTTTAAAGATTAGTAATAATTTAGTAACAAACCAACACCAACTTAGTATGCACCTTATCCAAGAACAATAACACATAAATTCATTTTCAGAAAACATTCATTTTCTCCTCATTGTTTTACAATTTTCCTCTCCTAACCATTTCCCTCCTATTTTATTGTAACAGAGTTATCCTTCTTTTATAATCGAGCTTATTTACCACTGATTACATCGGTTTCTAGACTATTAAATCAAAATCGAGCAGATGACAATGTTCGGACTATCAGACTATAATAATGTGCTCACTAATATGGTCCCGTACCCATGGTAAACGTCCACTTTTATAATTCTAGTATGTCATTAACGCCCTGATTTTGTACGGGTTTGTCTGTAATTCTCATTATTTCAGTCTAACTTGCATTCGTTTGATAAACATTATATCTAGGATCATTGATCCCCTTAGAGATTTGTTTTATTTATCTATAAAAACAATTGCGTGACCAACACAGATTTTCTAGATACCATTCATTTACAATCTATGGACAATTTATGAGTCTACTTTACATAGAATAAAATCATCTACATGTTTAGAAAAGAGTGGATGGTACAAGCAAATGCAATGACATGATGGTAAAGGGGATTCCAACGAAAGCGTTCGTTTACCTTTTTGATCGAGTCGTCAGTGATATAATCATCGGCATCGAGCGAGTTTTGACTCGCGTCAACCGATCGGATCAACTTTCTACTGCCGTCAGCACTATCTCGTTCAAGCGTGGAAAAATCGGAGCCCATTGTCGAGTAATCTCCAGAAAGTAATTTTTTCTCCTACATAGTGCAATACAACAATGATAGAAAAATAAAAATCAACAAAACACAGCACAAACAGGTGAATGACTACACAAATGTTCAAACAATGCTTTCTGCTAAATAGTCACTTTAAAGTCGCTAAATTTGTATCACAGACTTGCCCTGGTTTGAATATTAACTACACCTAATCCAGTTTTTTGAATTTTGTATTATAAGGCATTTCAATATCAAAACGATAAAACTGCATGCAGTTAAAGGTCCAGAGTCTGGTCTAACTACATTGACATTATACTGGAGCCATTGTCACATTGCCAAACTGTTACTAAAACATAATCCAATAACTTTCCTTTTTCATGTTTAACTAGTAAATTGTTTACAACTTGCAAAGTAGATGCTTTTGAAAAAGTTAATTACAGTAAACAACTAGGGCAGGTTATCCTAAATACTTTGATGGAAGTAGCAGAAAGCATTGCTTGAATCTGTTATACAAGAAAAACAGTCAAACAAACATATAAATATATCAATACGAAAAGTAACACAATCGAACACTTGATACCAGATGGTTGTGACTATGCAATAAAGCAGACGCAACCATTCTGTACCCAACTTCATGTTAACCCTTAACCTGCTGAATTTCTTTAATGGACTTGTCTGGCTTCCATTTTGGAACTGTCCATTTTCACATTTGGGGGTATCAAGATGAAAATTTGAATTTGGTCAGCCAGTAAAGAGTCTGCGGTCAGACTATAGTCTGACCTGCTCTTTACTAGCTGTAAAGGCCAGTAACTTTCGGTTCTGGCAGGTTAAAGGTTAAAAAGAAACGTAAATCATTATCGACTGCTATAAAACATATTAAACTATTTTAAAGAATAGTAAAGAAGACTATGCATTCTTTGTGCTCAAAGTTTATTTACTGATTCGTGGAAGAACTAAAATAATCTACAGAGAAACACGTTTAAGGCATAATATGCAACAAATTTACCAAATAATAACTGCTTTGTGCATATTTTGTGCTTACAACAGAAAAAAAATAGAACCAAAGAACAAAATATAACCAAAGAATGTGCTTGCCTAAAGCATTTGAAATAAGAATTAAAATAAAGACTTTTTTTTAAGAAGTTTTCCAACAGAAAACTTTCATGTTTGTAATGAATTGAAAAAGAGCGATTTTTGGTGTGGTTTATCTCAACGATTTGTAATGTGACCTAAAATGGAGACACGTGTTATGAACATAAACCTAAACTAGTATTATCACATTAGAACAGATATATTTTTGTGTTAAGCACGAGTGTTTCACGCGAGTGTTTACCTTATCTCTAGGGGAAAGAGTGTCCCCGCTAAAGTATCTCATTTCAGCTTCATAGTCAGGGCCCCCTTCCAAGTACGAAGGGTAATGTAGGGCGGTACTCATCTCACTTTTGAGGCGTCGACGTGCGTCCTCGGTCTCCCTCCGCATGACAACATCCTGGTATAAAACGTGCACACGTGTACAACACAACATTTCATGCCATTTAGCTCTAAAACTTAAAATGTGACATTTCGAGGGCTCGGTGTGAAAACAATTTAACTTGTCCTTTATGTCGTATGTGTTACAACCATTTCACACCAAGCCTTCTATGTATTGAAGAGGACAAAATTGCTGATTTGCAGAAGCTACCATTTAAGCCAAAACAATAAGCATATATTACTTTAACCATCCCTCAATTTTCAATCATAGCTCGTTTATTTCATATCACTTTTTTCAGAGCTTTAAAACTTGTTCTGAACCCTAATATCGGCAACTCTACAAATAATTTTCCTTTATCTTATGATAGCCTCCACATATCAAAAAAATCAATAAACTTCAATAGATTTGGCAGCAAAGATTTTTACAACTGACTATTTATTTACCATCAACAAAAATTACATAATATCTTCAGGTTCTTCTAACTTAAGAAATCCGTTTTTCCCAGAATTCGGTCCTTGCTTACATTAACTCCATTTTCTGACATTTTACTGACATTTTGCCCTAATACATCATAAAGTGATAGATTGCATATAATCTTATATAATCCCCTCCTAAAAGCTTCTTTAACTTTCGACATAAATTCTTGACCGCTTATATACTAGCTGTTGTTTTTTTAAAGAATTCCTATATACATCTAAATCAAACTCTAAACAAAGATAAATGACTTTAATTGTTAATGGTAAACAAATTTCAGTTTTGTAGACAAAACTAAAATAGTGTGAAAGCTTAAATATTTATCTGCTTGGAAAAAAAACCAAATCAAAAAAGACTTTAACCGAAAAAAAAAGTACATGTAAAAAAAGCATTTCTATAGAACCGCTAATAGTTCTTCGAGTGACTCTCGAAATGAAAGAAATATTCACACAATATATATAGCTCTATAGAAGTTACAACATTGTTCTGTTTTACACTGAGTTAAATAAAATAAGTAAACAAACCTTATGTTGTTGTCAATGGGCCATTATCACTACAAAGTCCACTTACCTATCACTTTCCATTTCGCTCCTTTTCTATGCCAAATAGTATGTTTTTTTTAGCAATATAAAGTAGGTGGCGCCAAAAAACAACATCATGTGACTAAAGAGTCCTGCAACATATTTATACAGTCTGCGTACTCATGAATATTTTTATCGTCAACTTACCTGCCCATTTCTTATACCAAACATGGGCAAACTTGAGAAAAATCCTTTGAAATACCTTTATACTATTTTTTTGGTATATATTTACCTTATCGTAGGATGTATTCAGAGGGGAAACACTTCCAGCCCTATCTGACAGTGCATCTTCCCCTGAAATACGCAACATAACAATTCAAACATACGTATCTTCCTGCAATCTATATGTAGCACATATTTTTCAGCATACGTGTAACACATTCATGTCAGAAGTTGTCAGTGTTAACATAAATACATATAAAATACATATCAACAAATATTAAAACATCACTAGGTCAGTCTAAACAAATCAGTATTAATATGCATTCAGAAATCTTTAATTGTCTGTAGCGTGTCGCATCTCATTATAAAAGTGCACGAAACAAGAATATTATCTATATTTAGAAATTAAATATGCTTATATACATGACTGGGTATTATTTGTAAATCGATGTTATAATAAAGAAGTTCAAACAGATTTCATGCTTCTTCGAAGAAATTCACTATTCCATACAAACTGTATTATGTACCTATTATAAATATATAATTACATACATGTTGTATATACCATTTCACCCAACTTAATAAGGAATAATATCAGTTTTTTTAACTGTTATATAAATTTCTCGCTGAAATTTCTAGATATTAAACTGCATTATTGTAAATAAATAGCAAACTTTAATCCCTCTCTGTTAATAAAATATACATTTTATGTGAGTGCATTAAGTGCGTCCAATTTTCCCCTCATACAATCATAATTTTCAGTTTTCTTAAAGCCTTGCCAATCATTCATTTATTCATTTCTTATATCAAACATGGGCAAACTTGAGAAAAATCCTTTGAAATACCTTTATACTTTTTTTTTGGTATATATTTACCTTATCTTTACCCGATAGCTTACTTTGTTTATTGTACCCAATTATCAATTTTTCCTGTTATTATTCCTTGAAAACTGTATCAATATACTGTTTATATATAGACAAAATTCATGCAACAATACAAGAGAAAAAATAGTTCCATGCAAGAAAATAATAATGAAATTTGCTATTTTTCACACCTGAATATCCATATATTCCAACATCATTGATGAATTTTTTTTTTCCTCTAATAAATTTTACTCCAATTCAAACTATTCAGAACTATATATATTACTGGGATTCTTATATACAGAACAGTTATAAATATATGATGAAGAAGCCATTGTCTATACGATCTGTAATAAAAGTGTCACCAAACATTATGCCATAAGGCAACAGATATTTTCCACAATATCTTCCACACACGTATTGATTTTTGGACTCCGCGCAAGCGGCAGACAGACACAAAATTATCATATAAATTCTACAATTTCAACAGGATTCATTTCGCAACTCCATCCCCTAAAGGTAGTTTTTAAAGTATTTATAGATACAATCCTTCAAGGTAGTTTTAAAGGAATTACGGAAACCATCAAAATAGTCTTAAAGGAATTATGGAAACCATCAGTCAAAGTACAGATTTTAAAGTTAATAACACCATCCAGGAAGTTCCAAACCAATTATTATACTGAGGATTTCAGTTCTTCCTTTTCTAAACATAATTATGCCTTAGAAAGTTAAATGAATACAAAACCAAAGTAATCAATAAAAGAAATTTATCCATAAAAGTCATCTCCATTTTTTATTTAATTCAAAGGCTTTTTCTCTAAATATATTATTACAATAATATTATTGATTTAAGCTAGATCATTTCACAGAAGGGGTTAAAATAACAATTAAAACTATGAATAAGTGTCCAAGCAAGGGGAAAATTACATAACAAAATGCGATCGGGAGATACCAAATGCAAGTATTTGCAAAAATCATTGATAACTTAACCAAATAAGAGGCTTATCAGCCAAAATGATACAGATTGTAATGACATGACCTTTAACCTCAACATGTCAAAATATATTTTCAACCTTTGACCAAAGGTATGGCACTGACATGACACAATGCCATTATTTAATGAACTACAAAAAAAAATCCAGTTAAAAATAAGTTATTATTTTAAATGCAGGCAGAATAATCTTGTTGGACTTAATTTAACATATCTGATAACTGTAAACATGAAAGCTTGGGTACAACTCTCTCGATATATAAATACATTAATTTCTGTAGTTATTATTTAAATATAAAAGACATGTGTAATTAGCAAGTTTATGGATAAATAAATGAAGCGTATAATAATTGAATATATTCACAAGACAACAGAAAAAAATATGATTGAAACGTAAAAATAAATAGATAAGTTTACAGTAGAGTTGGAATATAAAAGTACATGCTAAATGGAAGAAGGATATAAATTAATATAAAATCATATACACAGAGAAAATAAAACTAATATAGACCAGTCAACATTCCGAATTGGAAGGATCACGATACCACGATACGGGTACACCAGCAAGACTTACGGTTTTTATTGCCTTCGTAATATGGTAAATATACGTGCTGTTCAGAGAGAGGCTTTCCGAAGAGTGGAGACTGTGGCATATAGTCATCTCCTGGTACGCAATAAGGGGAGAAAACAAACATATCTATCATCAGTTACATGCCCTTGGATATGTTAAGAACAGTTTGATAATGTCCGGAAATGACTATATATAACTGCAAATTCTCTCTTTCTTTTTTTTGTTTGAATTACAAAATAAAAGATCATTTCCTTTAAACAATAGATAGGTGTAGACAGTCAAACAGACAATTAAAGCATGCATTTTTTTTTTTTATATTTGTGCGTGTTTATTGCGTGTTCTCTTAGCTTTGACTCATGTCAATGATTGCAAATATTTTGGTACAGTTATGATATATAATGTCAAATATCACAGGTGTAAGATATTTCTCTCTCCTTTTTTAATACTGTATTTTATATTACCCATGCAAGACAAAGTGTGTGTTTTTATATTCACAAATACTACTCATAAAACTTTATGGTATACTGGATATTGGATACACTGGGCATATAAAACATCATAAAGTCAAAATTACACTACAATCAAACACCTGTAATAGTAAATATTTTATATGGATTGGTGGTTACTATGTCCTTTGAGGGCAACATGCATTGAGTGAATAGGAACTATCATAATACTGGACTAGGGGAGACAACACATAAATCATTACTATCTATAATTTAGTTCTGAGACAGTTACTTCCCTTAGACTAAAACAACACTAATCCCTGAACCAGTTAATTTTCTTGCTATTTTCTCTCTTTTTTTGTTTTTTCCTTCACTCATGCAGATATTTTAGTACTTTCAAGAACCAATACAAATGGAACAACTTTCTTAACATGAATCTGGCCATACAAACTTAATTTCAAAAATAAGAAACTTGCCTTTAACTTGAATATTTTTATTCATTGCACTTTTTCTTCTGATAAAAGATGAAATTGTTCATACATTCAACATATATTTTAAACAACTGGCAGCTTAAAATTTTGTGACGCCTCATGTATTACAAAGCAAGGGAATTAAATCTTGAATGAGCATGAGTGTAAATACACATGAAAGTTGTTCCCCTTGTTTGGCCTAGCTTTTATATACAGGTATATTTATTATCTTTATTACGGAAATAAAATCTCCTTATAGATGATGAACGGGACTTCAAAGAACCTACAAGAACAAAATGGCAAAAAGATGCAAAACATATAAAATAGATTAAAAAATAAGCAATATAATCACTGAAGAGGATTCTCTGTTATTAATTAAAAAAAATCTCTAATTTTAGAACAGGACAACGTACATATCTAAAACAGCAATTATCTTACCCTGAAAAAATGATCTTGATCAATGAAATCATGAATTTACAGCTTACACTCATTTAACAAATTTACAAAATGATTATTTCACCCAAGCCTGAAAATAAAAGACTGTCCCCCAAACATTTTCCCCACCCATATTCCAATGAAAGTCAGATGCAGAGAATGCTTCAACAATAGAAAATTTAAGAAAATCCTCTTCAGTACATGCTAGGGTCATTATAAACGAACAAAAGCTATCACTAACATTTACATATGCCCCTGAAATTTATATTTTATAACACACCATACAAGAGTTGTAACCCTTGAAACAAAACTGGACACAAGGGCTATAACTCTATGATCAAAATGCACATAACTTAAGTAATGCACATAAATAAAGTATTAAGAAGTTTGGTACTGATAATTCCTGACAAATTTCATTAACACCTTTGTCCTCATGTTGCACACATGAATTGCAAATGCAAAGAAATAGATGGACTAATATGATCAATATTTTTTTCCCCTTTTGTAGGTTAAAGGGTGGCATAGTAAAAGAAAAGAACTAATATATATCTATGGTATATTTACTGGTATGGCATGGTGCTGCGGTATTATTTCTGTCATATATGGTGTAACAAACACCTAGCTATAATATTTTTAACATAAAGACAGCCCTACTTCCTCTGCTAAAAGAACAAAATATATAAATAACAAAAATAAAGCATCGTTTTCCTGCCCCCTCTAAAGTTATATTTTCTAATCTTTGTTGTGTTTACACTTTTTTCTTGGGTTACCCTTAATCACACATATTTTTGGGTTGAGTCCTTACCAAATTAACATTAAAGCATATGTGTAAAGCCACAAAACTTAATATATATTATGAAAAAATGCAAAATTCCAGATATCAAAAAATATGTATACATGATTGTAGTGTGATAATAAAATTAAAATATTGTGATAATATAAATTTTAATGTTTAAATTTATAACCATTATATCCGTATAATTGATTTTATTTGTACATTGGTAAGGACAAACCAAAACGAGTTTTAAGGGAACCTGAGTTGTGTTTTCTGAATACCAGTGCCTTACCAAGCCAATTGTCAACGTCTAATGAGGAATTAGAAATTTTAAAATATTTTTTTTAACAACAACAACATTCATTAATTGTATGCAATTCTCATTTCAAAAACATAACAAGTTTACTATAAGCAAATATTTGTCACCTTAGTGCAGTAATGGGTTAAGTCCTTCTAAATTTAATAGGAGTTAACCAGTCACTGCACTAAGGTGACAAATTATGATGGTGGTACAATGAAAATTACAAAATTCTAGCATAGAAATATACATAATCAAAAATATTAGTTGTATGTTGAAAATTATAAAACTTTGATATACTTTCATGCATATCATGCTTTATTTTATTCAGAGATGCTTACATCAACACCTGAACACACCTAGCTGCTATATAACACATTCCATGGGGGGGGGAATTAACCCTGTCCCCTCCCCTTCTTATTCCAATCAACTCTAATCAATTATTACAACATATGTCATTTGACGTACAACATTTATGACTTTCAGACAGTTTGTGGAGAATTTAACTACCAAAAAGCAAAACTAGTGCTAAGCAATTGTTGCATGTAAAAAGACCCAGACAATGCCCTCTGTAAAAACATGAACCCCCAAAAACAGTGAACATACAGTAAGCATCCCTAAAACAACTAGCAAATTATGGTTAATCTAGCATATTTCATAATTTGTTATACATTGCAAAAAGTAATAATCATTCTTCATTGTAATAAAAGATCCTGGGAGCCTCTGTGCACAACTTAGGTCACCTCTGTGCACAACTTAAGGTCAAGGTAGAATCACAAACCAAACATGACTGGGCATCTTCCTTACATAAATAATGACTCCTTTTTGACAGATCTTCCAAAATTAGCAAGTTTATTAACAAGGCCAAGTAGGCAAATGCGAATCTTGCGAACATAAGACTCAGGAAAAGCAGCCAAATGCACAGACAATACAAAAACCTGAATTTCTTTGCTTTTTTTTTCTAAAGATTTTTTTTGTAAGCTGTATAAAAGGCATGACATAAATTTTCTGTACACATGTTATTCAATACCGGCTAGTTGCTAGGGCTATGGAAGCTTGGCAATATATACATCTACATGTTCAAACTATCATATTAGCCAGTCACTGAAACAGCTACATAATAATTATTATGCATTGTCTAAAGCATGTTAATCAACTAAGCAAGCATTTCAAAAACTATATTCAAGGTCAAATGGCAACTCTTTAAGTACAGGTCTTTAGGGGAGTGGGGGGGGGAATCATGGTGCAACATGCATTTTATTATTAATGAATGATTGGTATCTTATCAAGAGCCATAACTCTGCATTTAAGGCACTCACAGAAACTATTCAAGGTGTACAACTCAACTGTGCTGACAATTAATCATTCTTTGGCCATTTCTTTCTTTATAAACTGTTTACAGTGTAAATTGGGGCAATGGGATGGGGAGGGGGAAAATTGCTGAATAATCTTTAGAAGTCAGCAAATATATCAGAAAATGCAAATATGTCATTTGTTTGCTGTCTTACAGTTACTAAAATTAGGAAGCATAAATGTATAAATTTTGACCAGCAAATTTCCACTAACTTTTAACAAAATATTTCTATGATGAAACTTTTGCATAACCCTCCATGGTGATCCATTAAACTGTTTAAAATGTAAATTTATTAATAAAATTACATCACTGGGCAGATAACCTAGTTCCCTGAAATTGGAAGAGCAAGGATAGAAAAAGTGTGTAAAAAAAAGTTTTTCAGGGGGAATGAATAAAATAAATAGAATATGGTTAAATTCTATTAATAATAATAATTATATTGAAGTATATATAAAATGTACGGGAATGATTAAAATAATGATACGATAGGGGGAATATAAAGCTAGCATTATTTTATCATGACGGATCTGTCAACAGCATGCTCACCAAAATTTACACGCTTTGGACTGCCCGGTTCTGAGATAAAATATACAACAATACATTACACGTTAACAAAAAGATAGACAGTACACGTTGACACATACAGACAAAATTAAGCTCAGTTTACACATGGTGCAAAATAAATTTACAAGTAAGCAGAAAAAAAGTCCTGCCAAACGTTATTTCTAATGATCAAACACAGAAAACATTTCACCTGTAACAAAATGTCTCGATAAACAAAATGCAGTGAATGAAATAATCTTTTAAAATGTTAACAACAATTAAAGCATGCAGGCAGTGAGCTTTGCCATGTGCCGAGATTTATTAACTGTGCCGGCATGTAGTACTTCATTTCTGTCAGAAAGTCAATAAATCTATCTATTCTGCAATTCAGTTTTTTCAAGTTAAATGCCTTAAGCCATAACTACCAGTAATATGCACTATGAAATATCTATTTTCTATTCTAAATCTGTCTCTATGAGTAGTCTAAGAATAAATTGCAGCTAAGTGCAACAATCATCATGAAAATTCTCAAAATAAATAACAAAAATATCCCAAAGATTGGACCAATTACCTCTCTTTGTACTAAAGTTAACCTCCCTTAGTACTTGATGTTAAAGGATATATTCTACCACCAAACAGAAATAGTTGGGTAGGTATGAAAATTTTAGGGAACCAATTACATCAAGTTTACCCATAATTTGTCATTCTATCAAAAAAAAAAAAATTCAAAATAAAATCCGTGTATGTTTAAGTACCAAAAGACAGGGTCAGCATTACAATAAAACCTGGATATATATGAAGGAATTTGTAAAAAAAAAAAGTTTGAGATAAAGAAACCCACTGAAGAACAAGAACAGAGATAGTAGAATTGTTTTAATCAAAATATAGAAATCAAATTTTATCTCCTTATAGAAGCTTGGCAAACGGCTGCAAAAAAAGCATTTCAAAGATTTTCATCATATTATATAAGTATCAGAAAAACCGATTTGTCAATAATGTTAATTTTTTGCTGACTAAACAAAATATAAACAGCGAGCCTACCTCCTTCATCCTCCGAGTCTGAGAGGAAAGCTTCCTGCATGGTTTCAGGGGAGACAACCTTGTATTTATCATCGCTGGCTGGTATTGTCTCGGTCACCTCGGTGATGTCCTTAAGTGTGTCTACGACGGAGATGTAACCAAGACGTTGGGCTATAGACAAAGGTGTCTGCCCATTCTATAATACAAAATGAGATTTATGAATATTTCTGTTATAACATAATATGGGGGAAAAAGAAAGTTTGGGACATTGTTATACACTGAAAATATTTAATTTTTTACATTTTTTTTCATCAATAAAACTAGGAACCAACACTTAAGTATCAATTACACCTTCAAATAAGTATCAATCCATACATTCTGTGGCAACAACGCCAAGTGGTTGGACTTATCTCATGATTGTAAGCTGTGTGGGTTCAAATCCCATCAGGGGGGCAAGCTGCTGTTTTCTTGAGCAAGAAACTATACACTCATTGCTCAGAACTGGTTGGTCCCAAGAACAGCCCCGAGAGTGTGTCTACAAGCTTATAGCTTCCTACATAATCAAACCACAATAAATTCTGCATAAACATATCAATAAATGAAACAATTCATTACCTATATTCTATAGCTTATAATTATACTCCTTTGTTATAAGGAAAACCCATTAATCTAATTTTTTTTCTTAGCTTTGCCCATTTTTCAATAGCTACTGATTAAATATCTATGATTTCTCAAGTAATTTAAATTTTGGAATCTTATGTTCACAAATTTGTTGCAATTATAAAAATATTCACTATTGCTGAGTATTTTTCTACTTTATTGAATTTCTCTCCTAAAATCAAAACCATATTAGCATCATATGAAATAACAGTGAATATTTATATCTCCTATCCCATTCAGTGGGGAATAATCTGCCCATCGTATCAATATCTTTTAGTCTGTGAATTGTCATACTGAAGGTATGGTTTCCATCATACACTGTCAGACTGAATTTAAATCACAGTCAATGAGTATATGAAAAGTGAAATGGGTATTTTTACTTAGTAGCAGATATTTAGACATTTGAGCCGCATCAAGACAAAACCAACATAATGGGTTTGCGACTAGCATGGTTCCAGACCAGCCTGCGCTTCCGCGCAGTCTGATCAAGATCCATGCTGTTCTCTATCAGTTTCTCTACTTGTTATAGGGTTTGTAAGCGAACAGCATGGATCCTGATCAGCCTGTGTGGATGCGGATGTTGGTTTTGTCGTGCCACGGCTCATTTTATTATTTTGTCGTGCCACGGCTCATTTTATTATATGAATTTTGTGATACAATCCCACCTTAGGATATCAAGGGAGTTAACTCTGTAAATTATGTCTAGTATTTATTCATTTTTTTGAAATGTGGAATACAACTTCGGTTGACACATTGGTCATGATTATCTACCATTTTTGAGCTTTGGAACACAAAAATAGCTGAAGTACTAATCATTTGTGAGACATTGGTATACAGAATTGTCATCCATCCCAAAATCTATTCATAAATAATAGAAAGACATCCTAAATCTATTCATAAGTTAATGAGTTATGGAGAAAATTTCTGAATTTGAAATTTTATGGGCAAACGTATTAGTTTTCAACATATCTAGATCAAACTTTGACTTAGCGACATGTTTAGTCTGAACATGATGGCTCTAGCTTATGAAATGAAAATACTATGACTCAAGTTGAAAGATAATGCTTTGTATAGACAGACAATCAGAAAGAAGCCGTCTGATTAGCTGAAAAGGTAGCGTGTTGGACTGTGAATCGGGCAATTCCCGGATGGTCCAAGTCACTTTAGTTGTGATTGATCATGAAATCCTTTCTATGGTCATTTGCACTTTAAATCTGCTCTGGCATGTACAATAGCTATCAGTTCTTGGAGAAAGTAAAGGCAACTAGTACTGGTAAACTGCTTGACAGCCTGCCCAGGAATGATGTAATGGCTGAACTGTGCTCTGGTAAATTAAATGTAGCTTACTGCCATGAACCGGAATGAAAACTACCAACACCACCACCAATCAAAAAGATGAAACAATATACTTCTTTATCTTTACATGTATGTATATTCAAAACAATAAAAATGTATATGATACTGGGGCAAGAATAATCAAGTTACAGGGAATGACTTACATTTGTGACTGCGTTCGGTGAAGCCTTGTGTTTAAGTAGCAAGTTGACCACACTAACTTGACCTTGCTGGGCTGCTTGATGCAGTGGTGTATATCCAAGCTGAAAGTTACCAATAAAAATTTAATAAGTTATGACAATAAATGCACACTCTGCTGTAATAATTCTATAAATATTGTTGTTTTTTATTATCCTCCTCACACTGTGTACAAAATTACGAAATAACATGATACTTTATCCTATTCTAATACAATTTCGAGAAACTTTCTTATCTACAATTAGTTGCGCAACACCCCAAAAAAATGAAAAATTCTGGAAAAGGGGAGACAACTTTATACAAGAAGAAAAGATTTTAAACGCATGCATAAAAGAACAAGACAATAACGCAGCCTTGACAGGTGTTGTTATCATCAACAAACTCGTGTTCTGAAAAGTGTTCTGATTCAATTGCAATCTAGTTCTATGTCAGAACAAGAAAAAAATTGTTCTCATCCATGTAAATAACGAAGATAGAAAAATGTGTTGCAATCACTCTACTGTACAGCATCTGCCCTTATTAAGACGTGACATATACTACAACCCAATAAACAGAACAAAAAATACATCAAAAAACCTGAAATTGCCAGAATATATTTAGCATCTAATTTGCATATTCATTCATCTGTCAAGAGCAGGTTGTATAACAGAAACGTCTTGCACTAATCTAGTTCAGAGATTTGTCTTTATAATTTTTTTTTTCGAGCATTTTCCGGTGCAAGTTTGAACGTTGTGCAAAAGACATCAAGATGAAGCCTTACATGTCTACAAACATATCCATCCTCATTTGTGGTCTAAAATTTACATGGTACTCAATTATTCATTACTTAGAATTCATCTTTCATTCACTCAATTAGGATCTACTGGAGGCTTTCTAGTACTTGTGGTGCACCAACACAACAGATGCTCCTTTATTACATTATTATGGTCAAAAGCAGGCAGCTGGGTGGAACCTTTATTTTACCATTTCATGAAACCATTCTTTCATGGTGTTTTTTGTTGTTTTTGGGTTTTTTTTTAGTTAATGCCCCTGTATATGTCTCAACATAGAGACAAGCTTTAAATCAAATAAACCAGATAAAGTTTCCAAAGGGTATCCAGAAAGCTTTTTTTCATAAACCAATTTGACAATTTTCCGTTAAACCTCAAGCTTTCTTAACCAATTACTTTAAACATGTTTATGTAATCTCAATTGTGAAGACAGCTTGTAGCTCGGGAGTCCTCTCTCTGAAACTACAAATTACTGCTGTCTTACCAGCAAACATGCTGCACCAGTAGGTATTGAACCCACTATCCCAGGTTTAAGAGGCAGGCACCTTAGCCATGCACTATACCTCCAGTTAGTCAATAAGTTCAAAAGCTGATTAAGCCAAAGTAAATGTCAAACAACTTTTTGATATTGTTAAAGATTTCCTAACATTATGAAAGCATAACAAATAAAACCTGTATTAGTTCTGTACTAACAACTATGAGTCTTCTTAAAATATAACTTTTCTTTTCACATCTAAAATTCAAGTGTTCATCATTGAAAAAGCATAGCAATTTACACATGTACAACATTAAGGATTAAATTCATATTTGTTCATGTTATAACTATTTGATTTACCTTGGTGGTAGCATTGACTGATGCCTGATGGTCCAGTAAGAAGCGTACCATATTGGTCTGACCAAAGTGGCAGGCTGTATGTAGTGGAGTGTAACCAGCCTGAAATTATAATATCAATGAATAATAAATACATAAATCAGGCATACAAATACATTAATATAGACATAACTTATAAGTTAAACATAATATTTAAAAGAAAGTCAAGTGGGATTTGAAACAAATCTGTCTTAAAATCAAGAAATCTGCCCCGCCTTAGGGAAAAAATTTCAGGATTGGAAAATAAACACCATTTTGCACTTGCTTTTGCTGATTATTCTGCGATAGTATTGCAACACTCATGAAAATTAAGTGTTCTTTTCTTATTATCGATATAGCTTTGTACTTAAATGAATTTTTTTTTGTGTGTATACATACTTTTGTTTGTGGATCAATCTGTGACTTGTATTTAACAAGCACCTCAGCGACTGGGACTTTATCTTCCTGGGCAGCCAGATGCATGGCAGTTAATCCATTCTGTAATAAACAGAAGAAACATATCTCATTTCACGATTTTATTGTTGAAGAAAAAATCAGCAAATTTATTGTATATCATCAAAAGATTATTTAAGTTCGGAAGATTTTTCAGTTACAAAATTTTAAACATGTCTGATAAAGTTCATCGCAGAATTTTACTTATTGATTATTCTTACATGCTTCACACAATTCCCTTGGCCATCAAAAGCATTATAACACAATTCATGTGCACTGAATTGGTAAAAAAATATTTACATGCTACATGATGACAGATTGGCACCAATAAACCTCACAACTCGTGAAATTCCATCAATTGAGTTAACATATTTTTTACCAATTCTGTTTCTATCAACATGTTAGGATCATCAATAGATGTCATAATTTCTTGGCTAATTATATAACTGCATATTTGAACTCGGACCATGCATTATTGTACAATATTTCACTCAGTACTGATACCCATTTCCTACATGAACATGTTTGGAATGGTCAATGACAAAAAAAAAAAAATTTCAAATTAATGTATGAAAATACCAGTGCCAGTCATATACTAAATGTAAACATACGTGAGATTTTGGGTTGACATTAGCCTTGTGTTCCAACAGCAGAGAGACCATATCTGTGTGGCCCTCCTGACTGGCTAGATGTAGTGGCGTGAAACCATTCTGAAATATAAATATATACACAATTAGCATGAATACCTTCGTATATAATGTTCATTGATATGGACACAAGACTGATTGGAATTAACAACTTATTTACATCATATGCCATGCACCTGTGGTCAATGATTTGTTGTTTTTTTTTATTTGGCAGCTCCTGTGTTACAGAATATATTGCATACTTTCTAAAAGTTGCTTGACCATCTATGCCATATAATAGATAAGTTGCTCTGACACAATGATTAGTTGACCATATCACATTAGGGCAGAAACAGGTTAACTCCTTATATAACGTAATAGGAGTTATCCCATTCACTGCACTAAGGTGATTATACATGTATGTATCACTTTTAATTAAACAAAACAACAAGTATGGATTTTTACACAAAAGAAATTCAAGTTTGTCTGAACAACTGTCAGACAAGTTTTTGTTTTAAGTTTAGTCTGGTATCATAAAAATTGAGATAGGTTGTTAACGTTATTCTTCGCCAATATACATAACAAAAACACATCATAATCAAGATGTTTAATACATGTATGTATATATCATATATGACCAGGAATATAATTGGTAAAGTTGTCTACCTTGGATTCAGCGTCAGGTTTGGCTCCATATTCTAGTAATGTTGTAGCTATGTCCATCTGATTCTTCTTCGCTGCTATGTGCAGTGGTGTGTAACCATTCTAAATATATATAATACATTTTATAAATAAATTCTATATTCAGAAATGTTACAAAAATGTGAACACTAACGTTATTGAAACCAATACCTCACAGATTTTTGTCGCCAGTAAAAAACCAGACCAGTCCCATTCAGCAATACTGTACAGTGTGACCAAACTATATACAATTTGCTACTAAATCTTATAATTTTCATACTAAAATCCCTTTAACAACTAAATTGACTGTTTCAAAGTTTCAAATACACCAGTTCAACAGTATAAGGGCTAACCTTTTTCAAAGTGTACATTTCCAGGCTGGAATTATCAAAATACTAAAATTGAGAACCAGTCAGATATGCAGGCTCAATACTTAAGGCGTGGGCCTGGGTTTTTATCATAAAAGTGGATTTGGCTTCATTTCTTTAATTATTGAAGAAGACACTCAAAATTTAAGACCTGCCCCAACAGTTTTTATAAATATTCTTCAATATTCCTAGAATATTATAATTATATCATGATAGATTGACAGTGTATTTAATTCATCAATTAACATTTAAGTCAATAAAACTTCACCATTTTATTTTATATTCTACTGAACTTGTAGAAAAACATGCAATATATATAAACATGGGAACTAAATCCAATGAAGTTCACACACACAAAATTAATGTCTGCTGAATAAATCTTGAGAAAAAAAAAAACACCAAAAAAAAAAAACCCCTTTTATCTCAGAAATTATAATTTGCATATCAAGATTCCTCCAGCCTTTTTTTTTAGTTTACTATTTTTATTAGGTTTATTGATGGTGTATTTCCTTTTCCCACACCCTGACACTGTCATGTTCATTGAAACTGACAACTAATTATCATTACCAAGTGTACTAATTGCTAGCAAAGCTAACTGAATAATTACATCAGAGGATGTTTGCCAAGTTTACATACTTCTGCATCATAATGTCACTCAAGGTTATTTCCCTTCACTTTATATAAAGTGCAAATAAATACATATACATTATTGTCTAATGTCTAAGACTGACGGAATAAATTTGATTCAGATGTGTAATTACAAGTGCATAGTATGGTTAAAAAAAATAAAAAAATAAAAATATTTTTACTGGTTTTCAGAGAAATCTATAAATTTCACCATCTGTTTCATATAACTTTCAGTTCCTTCAAGTTTGTGTTATGTCAATAAATCAATAATATTTACATACATAAGTCTTTGAATTATGTTATATAATTAACCTTGAACATTCATATGGCATGACATAACCGCATAAAACTGCCATTCAGAATATATCATATGAAAAACCTAAAATAATATCCTTTTAAACAGGATGAAAAATTGCATCCTTTGAGATACCCCATGATAATTTTGAAATCCTATAAAACTCCTTTAAAAATTATGTTCTATGAAATAACCATTAAAATGATGTTCAATGAATAGAATAAAATGTGATGTCCAATTTAATAAAGACAAAAGTTCAAACAAGAGCACCACAGGCATAGTAATGCTCATCTGTTAAGTTATTAAGGGGCGTAACTCCAAAAATATTGCTATGAAAATAATGCCCCTTGTCTAAAAACTGCACCTTGTCATGAAAAACAACTATTCCAAGTTTCATGTTGATAAGTTTTAAAATGTTTGAATCATGGACTACATTAAAAGTTTTTGCACAATAACAACACTGCTGCTGTAGTGACCAGACCCTAATAAGTCAATTTTTCTTCAGAACAGACAAGCTAAAAAAAATGAAAAGAAAATTGTTTCTTACCTTAGCTGTGGAATGAGGGGAGGCCTTGCTGTTGAGCAGCAGGAGTGCTACACTGACATGGTTGTAGTGAGTGGCCACATGTAGAGGTGTGAGCCCATTCTTGCCCTGTACATCTGGGTTCGCGTCTTTCTGTAGCAACAACTTGGCAACCTTCAACTGGCCATACTTGGCAGCAATATGCAGGGGAGTGAATCCTTTCTGTAATGTCAAATAGTCATAAATTAATAAAATTTTTGTCAATTCGGGGATCTAAACTTATTCACTTTACAATGCAAGTTTTACAAGATTTATTGCAATTCTTGAGCAAAATTGGAATATGATCTCAAGATTTTGTTGTCTTAAAATTGTAATTATTGTAAACCTAAATTGTTCCTGAACTTTCATTTATTTCAATCAATACTTTTCTGGTTGAAACGCTAATACTCTGTGAGCTTTCTGGAAAGCTGTATTTGGATAAGGTAATTCAATACTTTCAGTAATTAATAACAACGTGGTTTGGAGAAAATATTAATTTCAGAATTCAAGCTCCTTGACCATTCAAAAAATATTTTCAGAGTCATTTGTCTTAAATTCTACTCATTATTACAAGCAGACCAGTGAAACTTTCGGTCTCTACATTCATGTCTTGAATTAGCAAATTAAATCATTGTTTATAGTGATATGTACAAACCTTGGTAGTAAGGTTAAGATTGGCATCATGTTCTAGTAAGACGGAGGCAACCTCCTCGTGTCCTTCTTTGGCTGCAATGTGCAGTGGTGTGTACAAGTCTTTGGTCGTGGCGTCCGGCTTGGCTCCATGTTGTAATAGGAGTACAACATTGTCAACATTACCGAGCCGGGCTGCAATGTGGAGAGGCGTCTGCTGCTCCTGAAATACAATATCAAATATATATTGGATACGGCCATATTTTATCTAAAATTTGCTTTTTTCTCGACAATATAAACATATGACTAACTCACTTAAAGATGTGCACATTAAAATTTTAAATTACCGCCCTTTTAAACCATAGCCTTATTCTAGGAAGGAAAAAAACAAAAAGATGTTTAGTTGTATAGAAGTAAGCTTGTATAGAAGTAAGCAAAGAATATAACATAGATTCATGTCTAATACTGGAACTGTCATACATGTCTTAATCACATTGCAAAGGTTACAAATGGATATAAAGGCCACTACATATATATTTACATTTAACACCACCTTTATTGGGAAACAACCTGTCTAGAAAAGTCAACATCATTTCCAAAAATACCGTTTTTTTTTTTAAAAATATCTAGTTAAACTGAAGTAAAAATAAGGTCTAAAGGGGCTCAGTCCTTGAAACTCATTCCATTGTATGTCAAAAACGTTACTTATATCTAACCTATCACCATAAACAAGTAAGTTTCTAACAAACCAACATTATGCATTAAAATAGGAACATATATTTAAACATGGCACTTTTCCAAACTGCGGTTTTGCTATTGCATTATTTACAAGAATAAAAACATGGCAGATAGTTTATTTGTTTACTGATAAGAAGAAGTATCAATTTCGGTGCAGTAGAGACTGTCAATAAATGTTGGCAGGGAATGAGGAACACACAGCAAATAAATTCAACACTCCAGCATTAATATCCCTAGCAATTTATCCCTGGCAAAAATCAATGTAATTATGCCTGTAAACTTGATACTGTCTCAAACTTTGTCATTAATTTACTTCTGTCTATAGAAGTTCGGAGAGAACTTTTGAGACAAATTTTAGTGTTTGTTCTGGTGTCATAAATGCTTGATATTACACTTCCACAGACAGCAGAATTGCTGACACATAAAAAAAACAACAAGCCTATCCCTTCATGGAAGTTCCATGAAAAATGGCCAAAATGTTTTTGTCTGCTGCTTATCTGAATAACTGCAATGGAGTTATTTTCTTGTTCTTTGCATTAATTTTGTTTGTTTGGTTTAGTTTTGTGGTGATTTTAACACATTTTTGGTCCTATATTGGCAGGCGGTCAACCTAACCTGCTTTCCCGGCTACATTTTTAAACCAAGTAATTACCAATTTCTTCACAAGTGACAGACTACTTATCCCACATGATTTGTGATTCTGTAATAAGAGACAAATGACCATTAGACTCAATGTCCGAGTGAGATCAATTGTCACTGAGAAATAGCTCCTTGCCAGAGGATTGAACCTGTTCGTTTGTTTGTTTGTTTCATTTTACGCCTTTTCCCAACAGTATTTCAGTCATATAGGCGGGTAGTTTCCTAACCATTGTTCCTGGTGAGTTACACCAGTACTAGACTACCTTCCTCCGCCCTCAACTACCAAAGCATCTCCCGAGGATCAAATCCATGCCAGAGAGGTTACTGGATTAAAAGTCATTGACTCTAACCCCTCGACCACAGAGACGGTTGATTGAACCTCTTTGAATGTTCTTTCTATTGAGATAAGTGGGCAGACAAGAATTTATGTAATGATTCCAAAAGTGTGCTAAGAAGAATACTTTATTTTAAAACTACTTCCAGCACCTTATCTCAGTGGAACAAATTAAAGTGAAACCTCAGTCATGATGTTATGGACATGAAAATAATCCCATAATCTGATGAGCAACATAGCTTAAACAAGTGATGGAAAATGTACATAATTCCCAATAGAGACAGATTTCATCGTGTACGAAAATAATAACCTTGGCACAAAACAGACAAACAACTTGATAACATGCCATTAGCGTACATCAATTTATTATTTAGTGTTAGATTCCCATTATAGACCAAAACAGGCAAATAATTCTGACAATTTTAGTGAGTAACGGTAATAATGTACCATTCTGCTATGAGCATTCAGACCAGAACGAGAAAACAAGAAATAATATTTTTATGCACAGTTCATGATTGGATATTGTGAACTCAGATGAAATATGGTTTTAAGAAATGAATAATGATGCAAAATCATATTTAATAGGATATCTGCATTTTTTCCAGACATGTCTATAAATCTGACTTCTTTCTATGACCTTGACTTATGCATTATGAATGGGTTGTAATCTAAATGCACTGCCTCAGAAGCATTAAAGCACAGACATGTAAGTCATTATAATTTGTGACTAAAAAAAATACACCCATAGCTAGATTAACATGAGCATTGACTTCTTTTTGTAACTTTCATGACCTTGACCTTTGCAAGGGTCATCAGTAAAGCAAACTGAAGATGAATGTTCAATGCTCAGAAAAAAAGAGACATTTTGTTGCTTTTTAATCATCTATTATATTATTTCAGCATTTGCTACAACATATTAGGTCATCTCTGTCACTAATGGAATTTCAAAATTCCTATACATTTTTATCCTATACATCACACATGACAAAAACCAGACTATTTACATGCAGAAACACATGGCTTTTATCAGGCTATGTCAAATGCGATCCAGTTACATTCTAACCCCCATACAAGTTTATTGTATTCCATTCTATCACCACAATAATACTTCTCCCTCAGACTACCTATTGATTTTTGTTCTAGTCAGATTGCCGTTGTTCAATAATTCAGATGAAAACATCAGCACACCGGCTTATCCCAGTACATTTTGCAGCCATGCTTATATAGATTAATTACGTCTTACGACAATTTGAGACGAAAATAATGATGTAATAACCCAAAGTCTCCTAAATGCCCTATTATTGACTTGCCAATTACATAATCGCCAATTCTGAATAATTTACATGATCGCAGCATATATTGGTTTTCAAGTCCTATTTCATTTTACTCAAAAATACAAAATTCAGACATATGCCTCCAATATTATTCCGACCTAAATAATATCCAGTTTCATAAGGAACCAGATTAAGGTTCATTTCGGGATTTTTAGCAATGTTCTTAAAATTATAAATAAAATAGCCAAAATGTTATTTCAACAACTTACTATCTCAGAAGAAACAAAATTTAGATTCTGTGCTTTAAATAAATAGCAATTAAGAAACAAATGTCTCTTTCATTCAATAATTTTTTTTAGCATTTTTTTTAATTTCATTGTATTTTCATTCCCATAAAAACATGCAATACCACCTGTATACACAAAACTCTAAGCACCCCATTGACAGACAAACCTAATTTTACATTTTATAAATAAACAAAGACATACTCTTGCACGTGCATCTACTGTAGCTCCATTTCTGAGGAGGATTCTAATAATGTCAGTTTGTTGTGCTCGTGCAGCCAGATGTAGCGATGTCTCACCACGGACTGTTGGGTAGTCGGGATTTGCTCCATGTTGTATCAGATAAATGACGATGTTCATATGTCCCATGAAGGAAGCAACGTGTAGTGGTGACAAACCAGACTGTAATTATGTAACAATAGCGTATGATCAAAACTTTGGTGCAATAAACTTTTTCCCCATTATTCTCATCCACAAATGAATTTATAATTTGTTGTAAAATTATTTGCAAGCAAAATATATATAAACTGCTCTGTTCTTTACTACAGGCCTTTTCGAAGCAAATTATATATTTGGTTATCTATTAGATATTGAATACTTCCATAAAATTCATTAAAATAATGCAACATGTTTGGATTCAAAATACAAGTAAAACAATGAATTGCGTTAGTCTTAGCCCAAATTTTTGTCTTGAAAAAGCCTTAAATTTTAAATTTCTAACTGTCTATTTCGCATAAACTGCCCTCAATAACATTAATTTAACCATCACATCTACCTGTAAAAACATCACCCATGCTTTTGAAAAGTGGGTCAATGACGAAGTCACGACAGTCACTCCTACATTGCTCCTTTTGAGCTGATTAAGTTGTTTAATTATTTCTTATTAGTGTGTAACTATTACTTGTACCTAAATTTCATATGATGGCATACGTTTATCATTAACACAATGTAAAAACGGTCCCGGAAATAGTTTTAAAATTCCCACGATCGAATGTTACTATAGTACGGCTATTATATATAGTTACCTCTGTAGTAGCCTCAATGGAGGCTCCGTATTTGAGGAGAAGCTCCACCACCTTGATTCTGTTCTTCTTACATGCAATATGTAGTGGTGTGAAGCCATTCTGTTAACATAGAAAAACTTTATACAGTATTTGTTGTCAGTTTTACAAAGTGAACACATTCCCAATCATTCTTCATCTACCTTGATGAAAGCAGGCTTGAAATATTCAAGCAGCCTTGTTAATACTGAAACTATTCTCAATTAACAAAGGCTTATTAATTATTAAGGGAAATTATATGTCTAGACAAACAAAATAGTCTTTCAGAAAGAAAAATGTCTGTGGCAAAACAGGCCTATCATCATGTCTGTGGCAAAACAGGCCTATCATCATGTCTGTGGCAAAACAGGCCTATCATCATGTCTGTGGCAAAACAGGCCTATCTCTAAATTAAGGATTTAAATTAATATGATGCCTATGTAGCTTTGTTTAGATTGATAATGCAGGCATGCACAAATAACAATGAATTTTAAGTTCATTGTATTATAGGGAGTATTGTGAAATTCACATCATTTTATAATATAATTCATAAGCTCATTTTTTAACATTTTCCCTAAAAACTGGTTAAAACATGATGTAAGAACTTACGAGGGCTCGGCTGTTGGGATCACATTTCCTGTCAAGGAGCAGTTTAGCCGTGTTAACATTACCACAGTGGGCAGCCACGTGCAGCGGTGTCAGGTAGTCCATTGTAACATCATCCACTGAGGCCTTGTGGTACAGTAGGAGTCGTGCACAGTCAACATGGTCTCCCTGGGCAGCCATGTGCAGGGGGGTCAAACCATTCTGTAATATTAAGAAAATCTGATAAAGGAATGTGTTAAAACAGTAGTAATGAAAAATCTTATGAGATCTGTGGGTCTTGATTGTGGTGTAAGTGTAAATGCTGTTGTACTTATATATGGAACAAACAAGAATGTAAGTTCTTGATATTGATAACATTTGTAACAAAACAATTATTCAGTATGTTATTATCTTGACTACTTTTTTTATTTATTTTGATTGGGTTTTATGTTGCACAAACACAGTATAAGTTATAAGGCAACTTTCCAGCTTTTTGGTGGAGAAAGACCTCAGCTGCCCCTCTCTGTATTATTTCAGGCACAAACGGACACCTGAGTAGAACCACCGATGTTCCGTAAGCTAGCTGGATAGCATGAAAGAATCTGTAGATGCTTGGGTGGGATAAACCTACAGTGGTGAGAGGCAAGTGGTTGAAGTCAATGACCTTAACCAATTGGCCAGGGATGCCTAACTATGACTATATCGTGCTGCTTTAAAGGTAAGCAAATACAGTATAAGGACTCTTAAGCAAGACCCTATTAAGAATACATAAGAAAAAAATGTCTGAATTTACAAAAGAATTTAAAGAAAAAAAAACAACAGATTATACAAAGTAAAACAAGGGTAAATATAAAACAAAGTAAGAACAGTTATGTCTATAATCTATATACCTTAGTTTTAGCCTGGTAAGGTGCACCTCTGATAAGCAGAGTATCTACCACATTCTCATGACCACTTCTAGCAGCACAGTGAAGGGGGGTCAGTCCATCCTAAAATATCAAACATCATATCTTATTGTCACATGTTATATAATAATAGTGGTTTAAGAAAACAATGAAATTTTTCCTATTCATAAATACCCACATTTCATGAAAATGTTACAACCAAAATAACACAACGATTTACATGTATATGACTATTAAATAAATCAATGTTATTATAAACTGTATTGACACTAGTGGCCTGACATCCTGAAAGTTGCTGCCCTAAAATATCAGCCTAATTTTGAGCTAGATAAAGATAAATAAGGATTTTACAATTTCATGAAATCAGCCAGTCTCAATTCATTAAAAAACAAAGTGTTCAAATTTACATTACATGTTTCCCCATTATTTCACATGGTCTTAGCTTCTACACTTAGTAGGTAACCCACACCTCAACATGATGAGAAAGTTGAATCAGCAAATTCAAGAGTGAATAAGTCACTATTATTTTGGATAAAAATGTTCTTTCACAAGTGTTCCAAGATCTTTGTCATCATTATTTCACTGGTTTATATATATACTTAACTTAATTCTCCAATTCTAGGGATGTAAACAAACATATGAAGATTTGAATGTTCCGATATGATTCTGAACATTTGAACGCTTTTCATTACACAGTGTAATGCTTACCCTTGTTTTTTCATCTATAGTTGCTTTGTTGTCTAGCAACAGGATGATCATGTTATTCTTGCCCCATCTTCCAGCAACGTGTAGGGGAGTAATGTTGTTCTATAAATAGAAATCATCGTAAGTTTCAAGGTCAAGATTACTGGAATCATTGACAAACAGAATGCTTTCAGAAAAATATTTTAAATAAACAACTATAAAATAAACAAAAAGAACATTTATATTCATTTTTCTCTTTGTTGTTTACATGACTACAATGTGACATTTATCTTTCCGTCTTTAATTTTTCAATACATTTTCAAACATTATCCATTAGTTTGTATGGAATATGGTAACAAATAGCTGAAAATTTTTCTTATTGGCACATTTACTGGCTAAATCTTATCCTAAGTCCCTAGCCCACCTAAATTTATGAAATAGACTTGGCTTCCTTTGAATTTGGAACTGTCCATAATTTGTTTAAGGGGTTTATGTTACAAAATTGTAATTGAACAGTCAACAGGATAGGGACTGTTCAGAAAGAACAGATGTACTAGTACAACCTGTTCAAGCACTATACTTGTGGCATATGAAAGTCATAACTGCCGATATCAGACTAAGGGACAAATTCAGCTTTACAAACACCAATGGAACAGCTTCTTTAATCTTAAATCCGTGTCACTCCAATAAATCTATAGCTGACACTGATCTAAACATTGTATTTTTTATTATAAACAGAGGCCATATTTTATATGTACTACTACAGTATATATGTCTGTATTGGCTGCCAGGGTAACTGTTTCCTTGTGATTTACATTACTGTTATTGTTACGATAAAAAACAAGGATTTGATTAGCTGCCAGTACATTGTCTTCTTTATTCCACTGGCAAATAAATGTTCCCAGGTTTATGTCACATGGTGATGTAAACATTGAAATATACTGTCGTTAACCTATTTAACATGTTCTTCATTAAATTACGTAAAGGATTTATCCTAACTCCCAACTGACAATTGAAAGGTGTCGCTTATGGGGGAGTAGACGCCTAATGGTTAAGATGTCTGCCTCTCAAACCAGGGATCATGGGTTCTACTCCTACTTGATCACATTCACGACACCAGTACTTGTTGGTTCCAGGAAGCGGACTGGGGAGTGGTATATAAGTTGCAAGAACTTGTTTAGCAACTGAGCTTAAGTAAATATGTTTAAACTAATTGATAAATACTAATACTAAAAAGATACATAACTTAAGCAGTCCAAGGGCTTGATGTATAGGTACTGTCAAATCTCTGAACTGTTGTCATTGATAAGTTAATTCCTGCAGCCAGTGTTAAATTAAATGCTAAAATTACCTTGGCTCTGAAGTTGACATCTGCTCCCCTCTGAATGAGCAGGGTACCAACATTAACATTTCCATAATGGGAGGCTATGTGAAGAGGTGTGAAACCACTCTGAAATGGGAACCAGCATATAAATATTTTTTTTCCATACAATTCAAATATGAACAAATTCATTACGGAATTAGTTTTATTTTATGAATGTTCATAATTGAGCTGCGTCATGACAAAACCAACATAATGGGTTTGCGACCAGCATGGATCCAGACCAGCCTGCGCATCCGCGCAGTCTGATCAGGATCCATGCTGTTCGCTTACCAACTCTATTACATGTAGAGAAACTGATAGCGAAACGCATGGATCCTGATCAGACTGCGAAGGCTGGTCTGGATCCATGCTGGTCACAAACCCACTATGTTGGTTTTTGTCGTGACGCGGCTCATATGTTTTAAATATTTAAGTATTGTATAGTGCGGTGCGGTCTAAATTAGCATCTGTTGTAATCTAAAGCTACCACTACTGAAAAGATTTCCTTTACATTTTTTTGGACACAAGGTGTGATAGTTATTACAATAATACATATGTTTTTGATATACTATGTGCGGCACAACAAAAGCCTAGGAATAGAATGAGAAACTGAAACATAAACTACGGTTTAATCAAAATGTGATATAATATCATAAATCTACTCAGGTGTTTTCAATAGATTTACTATCTACATGATAAAAACAAATTACAGGTAATTTTGTATCCTCAGATTCACTATAAGCTACAAAAACATGATATTCTATCTAACAACATTTGTCCTAAAAAATGCATTCCAAAGTTAAGATTATTGTTTTGAAGTACAATAGAAAACAGTTTGCAGTAAAAAAAACTGCTAAAAGGGTAAAAAAGCATTTTCATGCAAAAAAAAGAAGCAATATTCACAAAGTTTTTCTCCATTTTTTTTCTCAAATAAAACGGTACATATGCATGCATTTATTTTAATATCAATCCAGGGAAGAAGAAATGAGATTTATTAAAAGGAACAGTTACAGAAGTACCAATATTTCCATCACAACTTTATATATATAAGAATTGAGTGTAAATCTAAAAGAATCTTACAATGTCTCTTGGTATAGATAAGAATTTGTGAATATCCAATTCATTAGCTCAGTGGTAACTGTCTACAATGTTTACTTTTCAAAGTGATAACGAGAGTCCCAGAGTCTAATATTCCCGCCTAAATTACAGCAGCCCATTATTCTTGCATATTACATAATTATAACCCCTTTGACTTTAGACAACATTTCTTTTTTTACCAGTACTGACTTCTTATTAGTAAGAAATCCTTAAATTTCTCCACACAAATCACTTGAAATTGGAATATTTCGCTAAATACTCTACAGACTTTTACTTATTTACTAAATAGTCCAAAGAAATATAGTGACCATGACTGTATAAAATATATACCAGTATCAAATGCATACCGGTATTCAATGCATACCAGTAATCAATGCATATTGGTATTCAAACTTTAAACAGGCCTCAAATTAAAGCTGACTATTTTTTGAAATCTAGTTTGGCTTTTAGACTCAATATCTTATTATTACATTCAGAACAAAGGCATCAATGCAAGTTATATACTGTCAGACTTCAAAATGCTGAAAAAATGTGATAAACCCTTGAAATATTTGGAAAACTATCACATGGAAATTATTTACAAAGGTGGAAATGAACAAGTGCTACCTTTTAGCCTTGAAGTATTATAGACACTGATAGCTGAAACAAAGTTACAATAACCTGGTGCAAAAAACCAATGTAAAATAAAAAGCATATAAAAACAGATTATGAAATGAAAAAAGAACAACAAAATATATATATGTATAAGGTCAGTAAAAAAATATGCTAAAGGTGAAGGTCACAACAAGTTTCAAGGTCACAAATATTACAAACCTTAGTTGTGTCATTAACAAGTCCTGCACCCTGAAGAAAGCAACAAGCAGCAATTTAAACCAGGGCAGGGGGGATAACTCTCTAATAGGGAGTTGGGGGGCCATTCAGAATTTAGTTTATTACAACATTAACACTTAACCTGCTGAATTTCTTACATAAACATTTCGAGTTTCTATTTTTAGAACTGTCCATAATCAATTTGCAGTATCAAGATAAAAATTTAAACACATACTCATAGTAAAGAGCCTGGCCTGGTTCTATAATGGCAAATATATTCTTTCTATGTTTTTTGGTTGGGTTTTACATCACACCACACCAGTATAGGCTATATGGCCACTTTCCAGCTTTACTAGTGGAGGAGGACCATTAAGGTGCCCATCTGTGCATTTTTTCAGGTACTAACAGGCACCCGATATATATTCTTTCTTTGTTTTTTGGTTGGGTTCTACATCGCACCAACACAGTATAGGTCGTATGGCAACCTTCCACCTTTACTTGGAGGAGGAAGACCTAAGGTGCCGTTCTAGGCATTATTTCAGACAGCAGCTGGCACCTGAGTAGAACCACCGACGTTCTGTATGCTAACTGGATAGCTTCCTCACATAAATGTATACAAAGTCCCTATTGGGATTCCAACCCGCAGCTGTGAGGGAAAGTAGTTTGAAGTCAACAACCATAACCACTTGGCCACAAACTACATCACGAATAAAATATTCATATACCAAGTATGCTTGCATTACTAAGTGGCAAAGGCTAATCCTTTTTCAATTTCAGCAAGGTAAAGGTTAATTAAAATCATTGAAAAAAAAATAAAAGAAGCAAAATTTATTATAAATATATTTTGGTTATTATTATTCTGTATGGATAAATATCTTAATATGTTAATAAGCTGCGCTGCCTGCACCATCATTAGTTATAAATAAATCTAGCAATGTGAAAATGTATGACAAAAATGAACAAATAAATTGTAAAATGTATTTTACAAAAGAATTTTCAACAAAACTTTTAATCGCCCCATCACCCAATCTGTCAGGTGCAATATAACATTTATTGTACCCAGCGTTAACCATGGTCTGATGCAAATATAATTTACTTCTTTGCAGGTTCTCCTATTAGAAATAAAATTTACTTGGAACGAGTCTGTTTATTGATTTTCATGTTTTAAAACCAGACTGTATTGATTTTGGTGGACTTCTTACTAATCTCCCATACTTTCTATGAAAAACATTGCATTCATTTCAATGAACAAAAAAAATCAGTAGTTAAAATACAATCATTACTCATTCACCAACTTAACATTGGTAGCGGATGTAGTAAAACTGCCATTAAAAAAAACTTCAACAGAAATATTATTTTCGCCCTCTTTATGTTGGGGAGAACTCAATTAAATATGATATACACACTCTAGCAGAAACCTGTACGAGCTTATATAACAGATAATCAGAGGTGATAACCTTAAGAGCTTACTGACAAGATATATATATATATTTTAAGATGTAGGTCATGATTACACAGTTTTAAAATAAATATCTTCCATTCTGATGAATCAGACGCTAGGTTGGAGTAGGAAATTTTTTACGGTGAATGATAAAACAGAGGCTGTGAGCTGTTGTTTTTCTCTAAGCTTCTGTAAAGAATTTACCTGAAGATTCTATAGATTATGTAGTCGAAACACTATGGAATGATTTCTGAGAAATAGTAATGCTTGCTCAATCTTTTATCCTATTTTATTTATAAATAATGGGCTTGTCCTGCTGTACATCATTAATTGGTTTGTTTTGTTTTTATTTTAAAATCATTCAACACTGAAATGGTCAATATGGCAACTCTCCAGCTTTAATGGTTGTGGCAGAACTCTGGTGCCTTTTGAACATTATTTCCGGTACAAGCTGGCACCTGAGTATAACCAACAATCTTCTTGTTAGTTTGATTTTTAGTGTCAAAATACTACAAGCACAAAGCACAACCATAAATAGTGTCTTGTTAAGACTGTATGATTGTAAATTGTGCCGGCTGCCTTGGTTCTTATATTATACTGATAGCTACTAGGCCCTTCAGTATTGATTCAAACCTCAGAAAGTTATGCTAGGAAAACATGATAGGTATAAAAAGCATTCTTTTGTGTAATTAAGAATCTTATTACTAGTTTATTACGAATTTGTCATTACTTTTTCTGTTTCTATTACCTAAGCTTTTCATAATTGTAGTATTTTTGTCTACCCACTGTGTTAAGTAGGCTTAATCTACCACCTTTTCTCAAGATAACTTATTCTGTTGTTTTTTATAAATAAAACACAAATTTACTAATTTTAGATGAATTTTCCTCATGGTCTTTATCTCCCAATAAAATCTAAGTAAACAATGTATCATGGCTATTGTCATTTCTGATCATTCATCATTTTTTATGAATTTCAAACTGCTATTTATAGAAGAAGAAAAAACAACAACAAAAACAAACATGTGAGCATGTAATGATACTGTTCAACAAATGTTTAAACAAGAGCCAATACAATGTAAGGGAGCGTGACTCAGACCACTAGAGACTGTATTGATTCCTCGGAATGCTGACTCAATCAAGCAAGCAGAGAGAACAAATTCCAATAATTTAACCAACTTATTTCAATCAAGTCTGCCTCTTCATTCTTTCACTGTGGACCGATTTGGGTGGGCAAGAAATCAATGGTCTACTGTGACGGCTATTATCTGCCATTCTGATTCATACTGCAAACATAATCTGCAGCCTGGGACTCCAGAGAAATGTTCCTTAATAATGCATAAATGCGCAATTCATAAATGCGCCATCGATCAATGCACAATCAATGAAACATGATGCCAAAAATGAACAAGAGAATGTTGCTTTAAATACCCTGTTATTAAGATTTAGTGTCAAAACAGAATCAAGAATTTGTATTAAAAGAATTTCTGTGAAGCTCTCTTAAAATGAGATTCTAAGCAAAGTTGTAAAATAAAAATGTATTATATGATATCAGATATTCAATAAACAATGAAGAAAATTACCTTGGTTTCAAGGTCAACTGAGTTTTGTTCATTCTGTAGTAATAAAGCTGCAGACTTGGTGTCATCTTTCTTGGCAGCAATGTGGAGCGCTGGGAGTCGAACCTTGCCCTTTGTGTCATGTTCTAGCAGTACGGCTACCACTCTCTCGTGTCCTTGTTGTAAGGCAACGGCCAGGGGAGTGAATCCATCCTAAAATTATAAATATATGAAATTATAAAATAAATTTGCATGACTCTCAATCAACAGTCTTTTGTTTGAACTATTGGACTTTTAAAGTCAACATACATGTATGAAGAATTTCTTTATCATTTATTCTAATGGTAAGAATGATATGTAATATTTTTTTTACAGAAAAAATGAAATCTATGCATGTTTATTATTAATGTTTTATATAACTGTCAATAAATCATTATCATTTATTTAGACTATTTTACAGATTGGAGATTGGCTTGGAGTTTTGTCTTTTAGATTATAATATAACCAATAAATTCAATGCATATTTAAACATCTGGAATTACATATAACTATAAACATAACAAAATAATAATAAATTGTTTATAATCTGTATGTCAAAAGGAAAGGATTATATAAATTTCCTACATGTTCTGAAAAAGCCAGAGTTTTATTACTAGCACTAAGTAATATACTCGATATAATTAAAACTATATAGGCACCTTATCACCCACAAATCACCACCAATGGTATATAATAATAGCAATCTACAATATATGGCTACATGAAATATGAAATAAATAAATACTGAATACAATAAATTTCATATTGTACAATTTTCTATCATAAAATTTAATGAATGAAATAACTTTAAATGAAGCTTCTAGCAAAGTGTTGAAATATAAAAGCTATAAGTTATCCTTATCAAAGGCAAGCTTATATAACATTATATATTTTCAATTTTTCAAACACATTCAAATTTTACCATGATCAAGTCCTTTTTGTTACAGAGGATGCAATCTTAAGAAAACCTCCTACTTATTCATCACACTTATTGTTTTTTTTGCAATTTTTGTGGGGTTGAATTAAAGTCACATGTCTGCTGTGATATTTAGACAGCATTCCAGCTTTACTAATTGAGGAAGACTTTCAGTTCACTTTACAGAATCAATGCAGGTCCAAACAGACATCTGAGTAGAACCACTGACCTTCTCTTAGCTGGCCCTTATAGCTTTCTCACATACAAGAGTTCAATGTCCCATGTAAAGGGTTTATACAAAACAGCCGTGAGTGGCAAGGTGGCAAGTGTTCCCAAATCAGCAATCTTTACCGATCTTAACCGATCTTTACCACTTTGCCACAAAAACTTCTATAGCAAATAAACATGTTGTAGTACGAACCACTATTTAAAGAGAAGATGAGCTCCTAAGCATTGAGAATCAGGCACTATATGAATAAATGAATATAAACTACTCTACAACACAAACAATCACGTTAATTAACTGAGAAACCTTCTAGAAATATTTTCTCAGAAACTTTGTGCCCACTATTTATCTCTCTATTTTCTTAGTGAAAAAAGATAGCAAAATATTAGTGCAAGATGAAAAATATACACACATTCTTAGAGAGCAGAAAATGCAGCAGTAACGCACATTACAAGCATAAAGAGAGAGAAAGCGAAAGAGAGGAATTATAAGACTAGGCACTACTTTTCCCAAATTGTTGGAACTATTTTTCCAGGCAGTTTATTACTATAACAAACAGGTTCACATAATGTTAGCACTAGCATTTTATTGCCGACTGTTATTTCTGTAGCAACTAATCTCTCCCCACCGTTTTTATTTCTCAAACAATTGTATAATGAAAGGTATTAATACATGCTTCTTATTTTTTCATATTAGATACTTCTGGCAAATTTGTATACATATTAAGATCACAAAGCAATCTATCAAATTCCTGTTCTTTTACTTAATATTCCACAAGTGTTTTATCTTTCCCTATGTATTAATTAATAACACAATCATTTTTTCATTCAGAAAAAAACAAAAGACTTCACTTATCAATCCCTTTGGGTCAAATAAAAGAAATGTTTTTTTAACTCCCCATTTGGCAAAAGTGAAAGGTGCATTCATCTTAACATTACCAAGCTAAATATTTTAAATAGACCTGTCAATATTTCAATCTGGACAAACCATTTACTTTTTGGGGAATTTGGAAAAATATATACTAACTGTATAGCAAAAAATTCAGACCATAATCAGACCACATGGATGTGCCTGCTTATTTTGATTGATTGGGTAGAATCAGATGTAATAAGAGTGTCTAACAAAATCAGTTGAAAGATGGCAAACTTCTACAAGCCTTTTAAACCATTCATTTCACAAAATTAATGGTTATAATCATTTTAGTAGCTTAGATAGGTCAACATTTTATAACAATTCTTTTTTTATTATTTCCTTTTAGTATCCATAGCTTTACAGAATTATATAATTGCCTTTTCCTTTTCAAGCAACATGCAACTATTCTATCTTTATAAAAAAAATATACTTTAATTAACATCTTTTAAAAATATACATTAAAGGTCTCAAATGTACTTAAGTTACTTATATAACTTAACGAAGCATGTATTTAATACATTTCTAATATACAATATATGTGAGAGGTTGTAGTGACCATGTACCTGGGATCCCGATGATATCTGACTCCTCCTTTTTTCTGCATACTCATTGTTATTTATTCCCTACAACACAAGCTTTATATACAAACAACATGCACACACAATCACTGCATGAGTGTCACAATTAATTGTCACACGTTTGAACATCAAATAAGGAATAATTAAGCACATTTTAGAGATAGTCATACAATGTTTTTTTGTTGTTTTTTTTCTCAGAATTTTGAATAGTTTACATTTTTTTTTTTAGAATAGCATTTTGTATTACCTTCGATGAAGGTAATTATGTTTTGAATTCCTTATTCAATATTTACTGTGTTTCAACAAATTCCAACAAATGTGCCAACAAATTAACCAAAGTATGAATGCAAATAATGTTAATCAAATCCAACTCAAACATAAAATTAACACACATTAATACAAAAAGTTAAACAGAGTCAAACAAAATTTCTATGAAATATGGTGGTGTCATTGATAAGTGCAGAAATAAATAATGTCTTGTTAAACCCTGAAACATCCAACAGATTTTAAAACCTTCGTAAGCAGTGCATGTATTTATTGGGCTGGCACTCTAGCACCTGACCATAGTTTACAATAATTTTTCAAAATCATGCTGTTCCATTTATTTTTTTTAAAAGAACCCTTGAAGGTCAACTGTCAAAATGACCACCAGGAAAATATATGAAAATATCAGCAAGAAATTTAAACTTCATGTTAATGAGAACAAATTTTAGCTTTACTTACGATTGATCAAATCCCAAATATTAATTCAGGGATTATCAATTCTTATGACTTTAAAAGTAAATGATTATCTAAGTATTAGATTAGCCCTTATTTTGAAACTATTTCTTTGTGTTTTGTTTGGTTTTTTGTCACATTGACATTATTAAGGTCATATGGCTACTTTCCAGCTTTAGTAGCAGAGGAAGACATCTGGTGCCCTATCCGTGCATTACTTCAGGCATCAGCTGGCACCTAAGTAGAACCACAGACCTTCCTAAGCTGGCTGGATAGTTTCCTAACATAAAAGAATCCAAAGCCCCTGGCAAGTGGAGCAAGTGGTTCAAAATCAGCGACCTTATTGTTCAGGTATTTCAATATCAAAACCCTAAAACTGAACAACTAAAAGAGAAGACCTGTCATCAAACAGTCTATATAATATCATTATATAATTTTACAATACCAGGAGAGGAGAAGGGGTGTAACACAGGCTACACAAGACATAAAAACTTAAAGTTATCAAACAAATAAAACCAGTATGATCATTAACGAAATAAGCCAAGACACATATATCACAAAAACCAAAGTGAAACAAGAACTAAGGAGTTATTTCATTTTCAAGAGTCACAAAACTGTAATTAAGTCACATTCTCAAAAGACCAACACGATTATTTAAGATCTGTGCATATCAAAGAAATTCATCATAATATTCAGTGAGTGGAAAGAAATATCAATACTTGTGAAGAGAAGAATAATTACGAAAATTCAATGAATCATGCAGGGCATATGATTAAAGTCAAGTGCCAAAAAGATGACAGCATTCACTCATCAAGGAAAGATTTATAATCTGAATTTCTTTGATATAAAACAGAACTTTATTTAAGTGCAAGATAAAAGTACAGATGTAGACTTACAACAGTGGAGAGACTCTGGCTAGCCCCATTAGCCAGAAGAAACTTCACTACATCAGAATGGCCCTCCTGAGCTGCCATATATAGTGGTGTGAAACCAGTCTGAAATCAAAAACATAAAAGATTTATCACATGTGTAATTTTATTATATCCTAGTTAGTCAATCATTATCTGATATCAATGTGAGAATAATTTGCTGAGAACAGATTTAATATTTACATCAAATCAGCCTAGAGCTGTAAAATTGATTCAACAATCTCAGTCTCAGAATATTTTTCTTTAAAGTACACAACCATTTTGAACGTTCAGCTTGATTACCCGTTACCTTCCAAATATATCATTACATAGACTTGTCCATGATCTTTCAATCTGGACAATACTATTCGTCATTTTTAGGGAAATCTTCATAATATTTTCTGACTGAACAGCAAACAGTCAATTCTAAGAATCGGCATGTGAAACCACCTGGTCAGATGGCTTAGATGTGTCGGCTGATCTTGGACTGCACTGGACAGACATGCAGAATCAGTTGTCGCTAGCAAGCTATTGGTTAAAATGTTTTCATCTTAAACTGAATGACAATGGCCTTACCCTGCGTCAAATCCACAACTGTTCATTGTTATATGACAGAATTTCTATATTAAAATTAAATTTAACCAGACAACAGTTTGGAGTCTGGTCACACTGTTTGCAAAATCAAGTTCAGTTTTTAAAGCCTATGAAATTATGCTCAAGATCTATGCATAAGTAAATCAATTACAACACATAGTGGAATAAATACACCCATCTGTTACATGTATCTGGTGACCTTACACTTACAAAAACATGATCTAGTTTTTGTTGTTGTTTTTTTTATTAATTGTTGGTTGCATAAAAATTCTCAATAAACATATCAGTTGCCATGTCAACTTGTTAATATTCATTACATTTCCTGCCTAATTGAATGATAGAAACAAGCATTTTCTTGATCTGGCAAACTACTCACTTTTCTATTTTCTCCCCCACTACTGATATAACACTTTCAACTAAACACCATAAATCTTTTAACTGAGGGGTGGAAAACCATTAAATCTTGGCCTAAGTCATTATCAACTATTTTATTCTAGCAGTGAATGCATTAAAAAGATGTTTATTCCAAGTGAGAAAATAGATATCTGATTGAACAGCAGTTTGTGGAGTAAGTGTTTAAAATAGAATTTTCTTCTAGTTTAACACTTGATTTATCATGGAGACAATACCTGATGTTTATCTTGTCCATCAATGTAGAACGTTTTTTTTTATGGTTCTGATAGGTATCATGGCTCTTTTATTTTGAAAACTATAATATGGTTGCCAAGAGGATAATTTTGGACCATTAATGGTTGCCAAGGTGATAATTCTAGGACTCTTAATGGTTGTAAAGTATAGATTATTTCAAGGTTGCTCAGCATGCATTCCATTGCACTTCAAGTAAATGTTATCTATAATGTACCATAGATATGAAACTTAAGAATAGGGGGACTCTTTAATAGGCATTAACCTGGCCAAAGGTCATGGTACTTTCAAGGGCCGTTTCCCATTTCCAGTTTGAATTTTAAGAATTTTTCAGAAAAGTAACATATTTACTTCTTAAATTTGTCAATAACTGTAAATTCAAAGAATTATCTCAATAAAAGGTCAAGAAATACAAATATGCACCTCCTAGTGTTGGCCTTGGGGCACAAAAAAGCTTGAAACTTAAAAATAGTATTGCATCTTTTTTCCTGGAAAATTCCTTGTGAAAAAGCCTCTGCCTACACAAAGGAATCATTTTTCCCCCAGATGAGGACAAAAACAACAAACATTCTGGGAGGTAAATATTGTTTGACCTACCTGAGCCTGTACATTGACCTTGGCACCGTTAGCAACGAGCATCTTGACAATATCTTCATGACCAGCTAGAGATGCAATGTGAAGTGCTGTGTTCCCTTTCTGGAAAAAAAACCAAACAAACTAAAATCAACTGCCATATATGACATGTAAATTCTATAAGTATATGTATACCATTTTTTAATAGTACTAAGCCCTACTGCAGTTTATTTCAAGCAACTGAGGGCCGGCAAAAATTCGACTTTGACTTACTTGTCTATTTTTATTTGAAGCATTTCTTAATTTGTCCAAATGATATATAATTTACAGTGTAAATTCTTGAAAATTACCGTACAGGCTGTGGGACAACCTGCACAATGCAGAAATGATAAATTATAATTGATTTTCAAAAGATTTCAATCAATTTCACATCTCTTAGTTTCATAAACTTTATTTTCTATCCTTGTACAATGTACTAGCCAGTGTTCAAAACTATCTGATATATTATTTTCATTTCTTTTGTGTACAGATACCTTATTTTCCAGCACTGGAACAATGTACAAGACCTAGTCAATGACCATTTGGTACACAATTTTCAAACAACAAACAATTCATGATAAGTAAGGACACTAACCTTTGTTGCTGCCTCAACACTTGCCCCACGTTTAAGCAGCTCTGTTACAATGTTAATATGGCCTTCCTTGGAGGCCAAATGTAGAGCATTCAACCCATTCTGAAATTATAAAACATGAGGGATTCACAGTACTTACATGAGATATTATCACAATATAAATATGAACTTAGAAAAGAATTCTAATACCTACGGACTTTCCATTCATACAACTTTTTTTATCATATCATATCATATCTTTGTAGCATCATACCTTATATCATACCTTATATCACAGGAGACAGACAATATGTGCCCCTTCATTTCTGCCTTAATTTTAGGCATATGTTGGCATTCAGTTGGAGGCAAAACCGTCAATGAAACATCTGTCACACTAGTCCAATGTATAAAACAATTACTTATAGTGGCATCTTTTGCATTGTGAGCTTTATTGTTCATTATCCTACCAATGCAAACCATGCAATAACATCTATGAGGTAAATTACAAGATTGACATCAGCTATTTTCCTTTACTTATTCCTATCAAAACCCTTTCATATCAATATTAATGAATCTTTAGCTCTATTCATAAAACTATGTCAGCGAACAAAAAATATTTTCAGTTATAAACCAGTCTTTTTTCAATGAAACAATTAACAACACACCTGAATTATTTTTAAACATAGATAATTGTTGCACTAATGGAAGCTCCCCAATATGTCTCTGACAATGTCAAATACGTAGCCTCACTGTGATAAATTTAGGAAAAATCTTTTTTTTAGCTTTGGTTACCTTGACCATGACTAAAAAGGCCAAAGTTCAGAAAAGTTAGAGATTTAATTAATAGGCACCAATATACCATATCAGAAGACCTTATAATGACAAATGAAAGTACAAAAGTAAAGAAGAATAAATCAACCAACTATCGGCTCCATTGATAAATTTCAAGGAGCATATTCCCATGGTGGACAGGAGAATAAGACCAGCAATTTCTACCATCCAAAAGAAAACCCTTTCCTTTTTTTTACAAGATGATTATGTATATTTTTTTTCCTCATAAAAGCCAACTTGGTGGTCAAATGAGCACTGTCAGCACAATATGTGGCTCCTGTTTTCATTTTGTTTCAGACCATGTTACTATGGAGATTGGTATAGAAAATACTTACAGGGTTACTTGTGTTAATGTCTGTACTACCATTCAGATACTCTAGCACCTCCGCCAGGTTGCCATCACGTGCCGCACGCAGAAAGCTGGTGTTTCCGTCAGTCTGAAAATATACGTTATCCAAGGATAGTATTGTGTACAATATGAAAATATAAATGTCAACAAATCTATTTGCTGTTCCTATGTTCGACCTGAATTCATACTTATATCAATAAATTCATGCTTTTCAGCATTTTAGTTGGGGTAGGGGAAAACGTAAAGGAGTCTATAAGTAGTATTTCAGCTTTGGGCTAGCATCTCTGGAACAGAATGACCTCCAGTATGAGCCAATTTGCTACTTTTGTCACCAGAAAGAACTAAATCAGCTAGGAGGAATTCAAGCTTGCATTAATGACCAGTGAATGTTAAATATGTACCACTTTTTAAAATCAAGTGTAGTGGCTTTTAATTTCTATAACTGTAACTCTGCAAAGCAACCCCCCCCCCCCCCCCCCATAACAAAAAAAGTTAAAAAAAATATTTCCAGAAACATGTGTACAGGAAAATTATATATATGCCTGGAAAAAGAAAATCAACAAAATTGATAAATACTTCAATGCTGAAAACCGCCATTAACTGCTGCCAATCAAAAACCACATTTATTAATATTTGCAAATGAACTTTAAAAATGCTGACCTATGAGAGCCTGTTGCGATAACATTTGCAATATTTCATAAGGCTTATCAGCCAAATATCTCAGATTGGGCTTATCAACAGGAAGTTAGGGTTAACAACCACTAAATCTTCTTCTACACATTTTCCATGCAATTCTATCCCTTCAAATGGCTTGTGGAACACACTTTATTCTGATTCCATGATACAATTTAGCTGTGATTAAGTGTGCTCTTGAAATCTCAAAGACTTGTAAGCTCTTTGAAACAAGTTTCAGGAATAACTTCTCTCAGTGGGAATTCATTTATCTGCTGGTATTATTTCTGTATTTCTGACTGGATGCATGCTCTACACCAGAACTCATTCAATTTGCCCTGGTATTAGATATCTAACAAATCGGCAATAAAATGATTCCTTCACTGATAAATTTAATAGAACAAAAAAAAATGTTTTGAAAGTTTATTCTGCATAAGCTTTTATGAATTAGACATTTTCAAGCAGAACATAATAATACTTTACTATCCAATCAAAATATATCTTATAAGAAAAAGATCTGAGTAAGTAACTTTTTGGGCACTAATACTTCTAAATCAAGAATAATCCCTTCGACTATGCATAATGGACAAGTCCTAACTTTGAAGTTGGAACCACCCATTGACAATTGTAGGGATTTCAAGATCAAAAAATGTAAGTATAGCAGCAGACAGTATAAGCTGACATGCATAAATGGCCATAGTGTGACTTTATAATATTATATTGATAGAATTAGGTTGCCTTAATTGAAGGCTGCTAGAAACTAATCTAATAGGAATACAGCCAGCCTCTTATTGATAGCATTGAATTCATTACATGAAAGAAAACATCATTTACGAAGACTTTTAAGTGTTTTCTGAAACAGCCTTTCCCTCCTCAATAAATACATTATCCTGAGGGACCGAAATCAATTTTTCTCACAGAATCAATGCTGGATTTTTCCAGAGGCAGATACATATTAATGAAAGCAAATATCTCAAGGTTGAAATGCTCGGACTACCAATTGTTACCAACTTTTCCTTTCAATATAACAACCAATATTATAGAGTTTGAGGTTAGATTGCATCAAGGTATACAGATAATGGCCTCTATATCGCGATCTATACTCTATGACAAAAGCATGTCATTTATAAATCTCCACTAGACTGTACTTAAAATAGTATTTACTTAAAATGGATAAAGTAGTACTATGGAAACACAACAGTGACTTCAATATAGCTCAAACTCATCACCTCTCAATTAAGAGACTGGCATCTTGGAAGCAAACAAGTCATGCATTGCTCTACTTTTTAAAACATCTCATCATCTGGCCAACACTTTTTTTTTATTATTATTCTCTCATCAAATGTCAAGGCCTTTTGAAAAACCAAAAGTAAGAAACATACATGATGTCTTAGAATACTGATATGTAGATTGTTTAATAGCAGCAATAAAAGAAGGATTCTGAATTTCCCATAAAGGTGTCTCATAATAAAGATGATGATGTTATCAAGTGAAGGAGACAGAAATATCACCTTGAAAGTGAAGTAAAAGTCACATTGTACCATTAATATCTTGGTACAATCTAAAGTCTCTACCACTACCTCCTAAAATAGTCTTTTATATATCACTTCCATCAGTAGATATTATAAATTTCAAGTTCACAATCAGGTTTGAAGCAATCTGACTGACAATCTGAGGCTGTACAAAGTTGACATTTTCTAAGTTGCAATACCTTCTCCACAATGATATAGATAATATAATTATATAGACCAATAAAAAAATTTAAGTTTTATTTGTTGAAGTTATGACATTATGACAACATAAGTCTTAAATGATAACCTTTTTTAAATACACATTAACTTGTATCGCCTTCACAAAAACATTATAAACTTCAAAATTTCAAAACTCTGCTTGAAAGTTTATTAAAACAAGAGCTGTCCGTAAGACAGCGCGCTCGACTTTTTTATTGCTTGCCAATAAAAAAAGTTTTTGCAGTAAAAGGCAATACAAGAATCTCTGTATTTTTAAAGTGAACAATGGCCATGAGCATTAAGATATTTAGTGAAGAATTATTTTACTGAATTGTGTGATACCCTTGAACACTGCAGCAAAGTTTGAAATGTTTAAGTCAAAAGAGGGCTGGTAAGAAAGAAAAAAAAACTGAGTTGAGCCTTAAATAAATTTAATAGTATTAAACCCACTTTGAGAGAATAAGGTATTTTACGTCACTCAGAACACCTTGGTAAATGACATAATAACATAATTTTTCAAGAAATCTATGCAAGGAAGCAGTATATTTTTGTACAATCAGCATAATATATAGATTTGACTTTGTATGTGAAAGTATTATAGTTACCTTATAATACAAGTAATAGATAAATTTTATCAAGCTTTTTTAGATGTTGTCAGTTGGTCACAAGTGGATCTCTTTCACACAGGCTGTGGGTGACTGGTTACTTTTCGTGGGTCCACTATGTAGATAATGCGTTGTAAACTGATATTTGAATTACATGAAGGAAGTTCAATTCATTATTTAATGTCATGCTAAATGTTCATGAAATCGTGACATTGAGTATATTTTTACCAATTGGGGCATTCTCCTGGACATGTTTGGGAATCATGATTGTAAACAAGTATTCCAACTTTCAAATTAATATCTCAAACAGTTCAGTCAAAAAGTGGACTGGTACTAAAAACTTAACCAAGATTCTAAGTCGATAAAAGGCCTTAATTTTTAAAACAAATCCTTGACAGAGTTACCTTCTCTTGCGTACAGATGGGGGTAATGATGTGAAATAGCATTAAAAGTTTCAAAGCAATATCTCAAAGGGTTAAGGCAATAAGTGGATTTTACCCATATTCAATGTATTTTCTAAGTCAAAAAGGGGCATAATTCTGTCAAAAACCTTGACAGAGTTATGTCCTCTTGTCTGTTGATGAAGGTCGTGATGGTAAACAAGTATGGTCAGTTTCAAAGCAATACCTCCAATGGTTTTGAAATAAAGTGAGGTGGTACAAAAAACTTAACCAAGCTCAATACACTTTCTAAGTCAAAAAAGGGCCATAATTCTGTCAAAAAACCTTGACAGAGTTATGTACTCTTGTCTGTAGATGGAGGTTATGATGGTGAACAAGTATGGTAAGTTTCAAAGCCATACTTGTAATACTTCTGAAATAAAGTGGGGTGGTACGAAAAACTTAACCAAGGTGTGACGCCAACGCCGACGCCGACGCCGACGCCGGGGCGAGTAGGATAGCTCCCCTTTTCATAGAAAAGTCGAGCTAAAAAACCCAACAGATTATTAGATGTTCCTTTCTTAACTGCAAATTGATAAAGTTTTTAGATTAAAACTTACATAGAGATACAAAATTCCATTTTTTTAACATGAAAACTTCAACTTCACGAGTTAACGTGTATACTTACCCAAGATATACGCCACTTCTTCTTTAAAGCTTTCATAATGAATGATGAATTTCAAGCAAACCGATAAAATTCCAAAATAAAACAAACAAAAATCACCACACAATTAAAACAATCCGTTCAAAATGAATTAAATATAGATTATAAATATATATATTAAGCAATCACATGTAGCTCATTCCGTAGAAAATTTCACACATATTTAACTTCCATCTCTGTGAACTACTGATTTGATTATGATCTGGTAATGAAGCAAATTAGCAGAATCTGGCAGGAATCTAAACACAGAGCAGAGCGTCCCAGCAAGGTGTTTGACCAAAGAGAACATGTGCACCAACAATTTCAACCAATTCATTCAAATCAAGCAGACCCTACTGAGAGCTCATGAGCACATGTTCCATAAAATGAATTAGGAGTTGACTCGAAACACACACGAAAAAAATAAACTGAGCAAGTAAGTATTAAAGGTAGCACACACTCTGAGCAAATGCCAGAATTTATATATAGCAGATTTTCCTACATTTCAAGCCTGAAGAATGCATTTATATTATATATCTTACCTGAGAAATACAAACAATTATCTAAGTGCCTTCAGTAGAAAACAAGGTTTTTTGTTTTTCTAAACCAAGGAGTACTGGTAACTTATAATTGATTTAGTTTATACAAATTTATTTTAGTTTGATTGTGTTGGAAGCTATAAGCTCATTGAAACACTCTCGAATCCATTCCTGGAATTAAACAGTACTAAGCAATGAATGTTAAGTTTCTTGCTCAAGGAAACTGACAGGGTTTGAACCCACACAGTCAACAATCCTGAGATTACTAGTACTACATGTACACCACCACTCATTTTATTTGATATTTTACTTTCAAACTCAATTACTCAAAGTAATTATTAATATATCAACTTCCCACTTTTGAACAGGCTCCTACAAAAAACTCTCTCTATATATACATTTTAATAAGCAATCTTGTTGAGATATCATTGTTCTTTACCTACATGCAAAGCCTCAAATATGTTACATAAATATTTTTAGTTAAATCAGGACTATTCCCCTCTATTCCTCACTAGTGAGTTAATTATGTTTCACCTATGACAGCATCCGAGGGAAAGCATTATACAGTCATAATAACCTGATTATTTGGTCTCCTATTGCTTTAATTAGCAGTTATTGATCATTGAAATCAACATACCTGCTAACACTTGCCAGGTCTGTTAATCAATCTAATTAATCCTTCATAAATCATGCAGTATTATGTTATTGATCTTTATGCTTTTGTAAGGAAAAAGACTGAGGTGCAGGTTTCATTTATCATTCACCTGAATATTTTATGAATTGGATAACAATTATGCCATTAATTGAAATTGGATCTGCTCACTTATAGTTAAAATTACTTCAATAACTATTCAGTTACAATTTCCTGACACAAGTATTTAACCAATCAGCCTCTTCCCTAACCTACTTCAGGTCAAGAACTCATGAGTAGTTCACAACAACTGAATGCAACCAATCAGAGATGTTCAGACTCAAGAACAAGACCCCTAGCTCCCAGGATCCCTGGTGACTCTGCCACTTAACATTATACTCAAAAAATTTAAGCAGCTGACACTGTGTATAGAGTTGAACTGACTGTATGGATGTAACAGGCTGCCCTGGCTCATAACACTGGTTGCAGTGCAGATTGCCCTGGCTCATCACACTGGTTGCAGTGCAGATTGCTCTGGCTCATCACACTGGTTGCAGTGCAGATTTCCCTGGCTCATCACACTTGTTGCAGTGCAGGTTGCCCTGGCTCATCACACTGGTTGCAGTGCAGGCTGCCCTGGCTTTATAACGGTTGCAGTTCAGAAAGTCATAATTGCCACATTTAGCATTTAGAGAGTCAACTCACCTGACAATCTTCATAAATCATTCAACAATATATTATTGATCTTTATAGATTGCAATGACTTTAACACTGATATGGTCTCATTAATAATAAAGAAATGCAGAAATTTGATCCTCAAGAAATAACTATCTCTAGGTAATCTAATTATATTGGTAAGGCCATTGGCACTTTTTAAAATTAGGGATGCATTTTACTGTAATTCTATACATTTGAACATAATGGTTATTCAGGGTTCAAGTCCTTTCTTTCAATACAATTGCTTTAAGTAAGACTGCAAATGGGACATTCAATGATGGCAGGCACAGCACTAAGTGATATGTACCATTTCTTTGTTACATAATTTAAATTACCCGAAACCAGTAGGAAACTGACCTTGTCTTTTGATGTGTTATTCCCACCTACATACTTTTGATTAATGGTCTATAATTCATTTCACAGTCAAACAGCAAAATATAACTTAGGAAACAGAAAGTCAAATTTACCTATTAAAGCAGAAAATTCATACAAAATGATCTGACCTAGTAATTAAAATGCAACTATATTAATCTTTTTAATGTTCCCCACCCACCTGGCATACACTTATTGACATTTGGTTCAAGCTATGAAAGGCTATTAATAGTAAAATTAATTCCCATGTTCCTGAACATTCCACCTTTAAGATTCAAGCCCAAAGCAGTTGAACACAGACCACATATCAACACAACTTGTGCAACCAGCACTGTATCAGCATGAGTTTACAGAGCAACTCATCACCTTAGTGCAGTAACCGGTTAAATTTTTAACCAGTTATTGCACTTAGTAAGAGGTGACACTGTATATCAGGTAAACTAAAGACAGTAAAAGACATTTTGACAAAAAATACATGCAAAACTTTGAGTCCACACTTCAAAGCTTTAATTATCAAATGAAGTTTTCAATCCATACTGAAGGGATCATTTTTATGCCAGGAACTGTATTGACAAGATGGCCAAGATTATTCACTATGTCAAGGACTCAATAATTGACAAGTTCAAGACGCCTTCCAATCAGTCAAGAAGTCTTCAGACACTAAGTATAAACAATATATTGTGTAACTATATATGAAGTACAAACACTTCAGCTGTGTTAATAATATTCCATTCAAAACATTAATCATACTGGAAAAATAATTAGTCATGAAAATTGTTTAGGTAACAAAAAGTGACCAATATGAAATGACAGTCTTGATATCTGCTGATGTAAAAAGTAAATATCGGTTAAAAAAACTGCCTACCCTTCTCGCCATTTCTTCTCTCACTGTTCCTACCCTTTCTCAACCAGCATAAATTCCACCATTCAGAGATAAATATTACACTTTTACTGACAGATATTCTAAAAATCTTCCAGGAAAGGGCAAAAATCCATATATAGAGGTTACCGACTGTCTTCAGCAGCAATTTAGACTGTGCCACAGTTGGTTAATTTAGACTGAATCTCAAGCTATGTACTGGATCAATACCCATGCAGGACCAAAAATCAATACCCAGTCCGCTTTGTTACTATGGTTATTCCAATGATCCAATGACAAGATGTCTCTTTAACTAAATTCACTTTTTTTCACTCATTAAATATTATCAAGTGAGAAATAATAGAAAAACACTTCGACAAAATCTAAAACTTGTGTTTCAAATAATCAGTTTTTAGCATCAAAATAACACTAGCAAATTATCTAGAATCTTTCGCCTCTTGCAAAAGCAGCGACATTTTTATGCCTTGTACATTGAATGTTTAGCAGGTTGTTGGAGATGTTTAGGCAAGCGTTATGATTAGTGTTTTCACAGAATCACATAACTATTACTAATTATCTTACAGTCAACACTGCAACTTCTCAATCATGTGTAAATAATTACCAGCAAAATAATGTCACTTAAATACCATTCCCCACCCACCATTACCTTTACATCAAAAGTTGTTTTTTCTTTACTTTATAGTCAAATAAATCTAAGATAGAATATAGAATAAAGCAAGGTCTACAGTAGAATTATGAAAGTCTGAGCTTGATTAAGTAATAAGATAATCAATCAACAAATTTATGTACATCAATTCCATAGACTTTAATTCTTGATGTAAATCATTATCATCCTCATAATGATTCAATAGATACCTTACAAAATAACTGAATAGTGAAATTAACATTAAAGCTATGACATTATATGACAAATACTTCAGAATGACTAATCATTTGCACATACTGATTCAAAGACTTCCTTACACAATTTTCAGGTCACAATGACCTTTGTAATTCTGACCTTAAAAAGGAACACCTGAGGATCAATAGTTAAAAGAAACTGCAGAGTGAGAGAATGTTTCTTTACTCAAGCCCTTGCCCCCCCCCCCCCCCCAACCCACCATTAATGTGCAGAATCAGCATGCAATTAAGTAGTCTTTCAAAAGTACAGGTAGGTCAATAATTCTATCAAAAAGGTCCTAAAGGTCAATAAGTCTAACAAAAGTAAGCCAAAAGGTCAAAAAGTCTATCAAATGTAAGTCAAAAGGTCAATAAAACTCTATCAAAAATAAGCCAAAAGGTCAAAAAGTCGATCAAATGAAGGTCAAAAGGTCAATAAGTTTATCAAAAGTAGGTCAAAAGGTTAATAAGTTGATTAAAATAAGGTCAAAAATGCTACAGTCAAAAGCATAAATTTATGTATTTCACTAATCCAGTGAGAGTCTAGGAAAGTTCATTTCAAGTGACTTTAGGAAAGTTCATTTCAAGTGACTAAGTAAAGGTAAGTCAATATAAAATCATGTGGGGACCATAACATGTTCTGACAATACACAGTCAAAAAAAAATGAATCTGGCTTAAGTGTCCTTTGAACTGTCAAGTATCATAAATCCCATACCCTTTCTCAAAGTAACTGACAAGTGACAAGAAAGAGAGACCAAATAGGGGCCTATGGGTGCTATGTTGCTAAGGTACGTTCGTAGGATCTACAATAATTAGGGATTCATGCAGAAGTTCTCCGGTTAAAGTACATCATAGTTCACAATTAAACTAAACAGCAAAACACTGTGTGCAAAGACTTAAAATGTCACATTATCATTTGCATAACCACCTTGTAGGATATATTTTAACCTTGACATTTGGTAAATGATATACAAAGCATATTATCATTTGCATAACCACCTTGTAGAATATATTTTAACCTTTACCTTTGGTAAAAATTCCAAGGGCTTGATATACAAAGCATATTATCATTTGCATAACCATCCTATAGGATATATTTTAACCTTGACCTTTGGTAAAAATTCCAAAGGCATGATATACAAAGCATAACATCATTTGCATAACCACTTTGTGGGATATATTTTAACCTTGACCTTTGGTAAAAATACCAAAGGCAATACATACAAAGCATAATTAATGCTACTTGTTTGATTCAGTCCAACTTACAGCAGAAACAGGGAAGTAATGGCTGAGTTAATGATTATTCTTTTCTATTTTTCTATATAAATCATATTATTACAGTGAACCAGGATAGATGACTTAATCGACAAAAAAGTAAATCTGATGTAACAGCCTCAGGTTTCTGGTGAAGTTACTACATCCAGATTTGTATCATAAATATTCAATGAATTTACACACCAGATGTGTGAAAACAATATATATAGGTACGCCAATATCTACAATAACAATACGCATATAATATAAGGAGAATGAATGTTGCTGGTAAACAAACTATTTTCTGAATATCAATAGAATATAGTATGCAATAACCTTGTTTATGCTTTTTTTTTCTTCAGATAAAATTAAGACTGGATTAAAATGAGCTTTAGGTTGCAAAAAAAAATAAGAATGTTTACACATTGAAATGCTCTGTTTGGATATTTTTATGTGAAAAAGACAAAAAATATTCCTACACTTAATCAATATTACCTTGCAATGTAAAGCAAAACAAGCAAAACAACAGAAATTTTTTTTTCAAAAAAATTCAAATACTGCAAGTTGCAAAATCATGAAATTTCCATTGACAAGATATTTAAGTATTTATTATGCACACAGAATAAAAAAGATTATTGAAAGAAATAATCATGGAAAAAATTTCTTACCATGACCACAGCTCTAATCTCCACGCAGACAAACTCCTGTCTTGCTTACAGAATAAAACGGCAAAATTTGCAGTAAATTAGAAAACCGGGCAGCAGCCAACATGCATTACTAAACAGATCAATTTATAGGCTTCCTGATATCATACAAATTTTACCATATATGTACAAACAGTTGCCTCTGATTGGACGATTTGTAACATTTCTTCTTGTCTGGAACACTCAAGATATAATAATCATGTTATTTCAAATATTCTATATCGAAATCAATAAATATATTATCAGGGGATCTAATTTATAAACAGACATATTCTGTAATGATCAAGGTTATAAACTATTCATGGTGTCAGACCACTTTGTTCACACATTAAAGACACCAGAGACTTTATAATTGAACGTTTATTTACCAAAAGGTCATTCAAGTTGTAAAACAATCATCATAATAATTATTTTCTTCCAAATAATGCCAGATTATATATTAATTAGAACAATTATTTGCAAAACCTTGCCCTTAATTTATGATCTCAGTAACTACTGCAATATAATTTTTGCTAATATTTTGGCTTTGTGACCTTGACATTCTGACCTTTGGTATAAATATTAATACTATATGATTAAATTTCAATATAAGATTGATTATTAGAGCTTATTATAATTTCAGCTATAGGAACTCAAGTCATACTCATGTTCAAATTAAACTGTGACCTTGACCTTTCATAGATCCATAAAATTGACCTTTAATAGATACATGTACCGAAAAACTGTATTCATGCTTGTAGCATAAAAGGAAGAGGAACCAGTTGTAACACCTTGAATCATTTCAGACAGAAGTAAAGGCAGGCTGGTACCCTGAATGTTGTTTGTGAATAGTTTATAAATAAGTACTGACTCAAAATATTGATGTTGAATTATGTTTGAAAATTATGTTTTGAAATAAAAAATGCCTAGAACTTGTTGCAGCAAAATTTGTGCAAAATGGATTGTTTTTGATGTTGATGTTGTTTTTGTATGTGTTTTTTATATGTTTTTTTGTAAGTATAATAATAATATTTTCAATACTTAAAGAAGTGCTCAACAAGAGAAATGGTAGATAAAATTAGAAAGTTATCAAACATGGATGCAAATTTATTTGGTGAAAATTTCATGGTTCTCTGAGTGAGAATTATGTATCAGCCTGTTTAATTTGAAATTAATAATCTTGCAGAATAATGGAGCCACCAGCTTCCATCAGTACTTTAAATTCTTTGATTACTATGACCTTGGTAGAACTACTATTCAAAGGGAAGCAACTCTTTACAATCATGCCTAAAATGCTGTCTAGGGTTGTCTCTCTTTGCAACCAGAATTTATGACAATAATTCAAAGGCCATTAACCATGCCTCAAGCATAATTCAGTGATGAAAATTGAGTAACTTATAGTTACTTATAGTGCCTTTATAGTCTTCAAAATAAAGGATTTTTACTTCTAGAACAATTACAGAATTCTGACAAATGTCTTTCATGCACTTTCAATAAGTGCAGATCAATGAGAAAGGGTAAAGATGTCGTTTTCAAAAATCATATTAATTTTCACAAATTAAAGATACCGTACACATGTGTATAAATATATAAAACGAAATATTATTCATAAAATTAAACGGGACAGTAAAATATGTATAGTAATATTTTAAAACAAGAGAGCTGTGATGGCTAAATATCACTTGTCTGAGATCCATTGCTGAAACTGAAAGGTGAAAGATCTTAAATGCAGTTACCCAGTCACATATGGACCAGCCCATTTTATTGTGTGTGTTTGCGTTTGTTTACCCTCGCCACCGGAAAGAGACCATATGGGCGAGCCCATTTTAAATGAAAGGGCTATAATTCATTTAACATTTGTAGAGGTCCACTTAGCAATGCTACATGCCAAATTTCTAAGCTTTATCATCAGCAGTTTCATATCAGAAGATTTAAATTCCATTTCCTATGTAAGTTGACCCCTATAGTGGGACTGACAGATTTGACCTTCAGGATTGCATCAGAATGCAACTATTTGTTTACTTACTTTTATTAACTATAGAGGGTCACCTAAGGATCATTCCTGTGAAGTGATGTGAAAATCTTCCAAAATGACAGTAAAGGAAATGTTAAATTCTGGATAGATAATGCACAAAGGACATCAAACAGTTACAAAAGCTCATCTTTCAACAATCTAAAATCAACGATCTGCTTAGAAGAGACTAAAGACCATATAGTAAGTATTCTCTACCAATAAACCACAATAAACCATCTGGCTATATTCATGACATCATCAACGTGATTTTATAGAAAGGAGTAAATAAGAAATAGGGATTTTCAGACAATCTTTTTGTCCACACACAGCATCCTGACATCAGCTTATTTTCCAAGACAGTTTCCTTAATTAGCTGATTAATATTCTTACAAAGTAATCCCTTGTCCAAGCAAAGAGATTATCTCACTAATCCAGCCAGACTGTAGAGGGAAAAAAACAATTCTCTGATTTCCTATATTTCTTTTAAATAAATCATATAAGAAATGTCTTGTAACGGTGATTTTGACAGATCAATCAATATCTGGACTTGTAACAGCCTGAAAGCTATCCAAAAGCTATCAGTTTGCAATAAGCACTTCCAAAATTTGGCGAAATTTTAATCAAACAATGATAGTATCATGTCCATCAACGCACACTTTAATTTCAAATTGGTCTCTGCCTTCCTTCAAATTT